GCTAGGCCATCCCATGACCTGGGGCCAGGGGCAGGCCCGGGCTACCCAGGCCACAAGTCCAGGAAGCTGGTGGGAGTTCTTTTCCATTCCATTCCAAGCCATCGCTCTCCCTCTCCCTGCACTCACTCCTAGGTCTTTGGAACTCATGACATCCCGCGGGAACCCCAGCCTCCCCTGTGCTTCCGTACCACACTCCTCTCTCAGTGCCATCTCCACTGGTGTCGCAGTCACAAAGGCGGTCTGCTCCTCCAGTTCCCTCCTGTCCTAGGACCACACACCTGTAACCTCGGCACCACCACCAGCTCCTGCCAACAGTCCCACCCAGATCACATCAGCTGCAGTAACTGAGCCCTCCTACCCCTCCTCCACCCCAAATCCCCTCCCACCCCTCCTCCACCCCAGCAGATCCCCTCCCACCCCTCCTCCACCCCAGCAGATCCCCTCAGGACATTCCAAGAGACACCATCTCCATGACTTCTTTGAAGACCCCTTTCTTTCCTTTGTTGACTCTCTCTTCATCCAGGCCACCTGGGAAAATGTCAACTCTAGAAGTTTCCTTTTGCCCCAGTCATTGGACAACCATACCAGAGTGGCCAGCATCACGTGAACCCCATAGACACCTGCCCCCTGGGTGCTAGAGGGTGATGCAATCTCGCTTTCTCTCCCAAGAGGCCCGCTCTGCCCTCTGCTCACCAGCCCCTTCCCTCCAGAGAGGCCCGCTCTGCCCGCTGCTCACCAGCCCCTTCCCTCCAGAGAGGCCCGCTCTGCCCGCTGCTCACCAGCCCCTTCCCTCCCGAGAGGCCTGCTCTGCCCGCTGCTCACCAGCCCCTTCCCTCCAGAGAGGCCCGCTCTGCCCGCTGCTCACCAGCCCTTTCCCTCGCGAGAGGCCCGCTCTGCCCGCTGCTCACCAGCCCCTTCCCTCCAGAGAGGCCCGCTCTGCCCGCTGCTCACCAGCCCTTTCCCTCGCGAGAGGCCCGCTCTGCCCGCTGCTCACCAGCCCCTTCCCTCCAGAGAGGCCCGCTCTGCCCGCTGCTCACCAGCCCTTTCCCTCGCGAGAGGCCCGCTCTGCCCGCTGCTCACCAGCCCCTTCCCTCCAGAGAGGCCCGCTCTGCCCGCTGCTCACCAGCCCCTTCCCTCCTGAGAGGCCCGCTCTGCCCTCTGCTCACCAGCCTCTTCCCTTCAGAGAGGCCTGCTCTGCCCGCTGCTTACCAGCCCCTTCCCTCCCGAGAGGCCCGCTCTGCCCGCTGCTCACCAGCCCCTTCCTTCCCGCAGTTCAGCCTGTCCTCTTTCACTTGAGGAATCAGAACCATAGTCATATTCTGACTTCTGATTCCACACACCCGCTTACACCTGTGCCCACGCATTTGGTTCCTCTTCTTGTTGCAAAGACTAAACCTCGAGGTGCTTGTGGCTCTCCGCTTCAGCCCTCCTCCTGCTTTCCGGGTGTGGTTCATGAAGGAGCCGTGCTCTCTCGGCTTCGTACATCATACACTGTACATCGCACATTGTACATCGTCCCTCATTCTTGGCAACAGGCCTGCTCTGTGTGTCCGGCGCTGACTCATGCATCAACTCAGGACCCCTTCCTGTCCCAGCTCCCAGCGGATCCTTGCAGGTCCACAGAGCGCAGGCCGAGCAGGGCCTTGCCGGCTTGCCGCTGACCCCGCCACCTGGTCACCCAGCATTCTGTCATCTCCTGCTCTGACACAGGTGAGGCTTAGGTGTGCTGTTCCGAGCATGCAGCCCAGGGCCAGGTGCGGGGAGCCGTGCATAGGGGTTAGGGTGGGATGGGCACGCAGGAAGGAGCAGAGCACAGGGCCCTTCTCTGCCATTCGTGGAGCCCTCTGGGATGGGGCCAGCCCAGTTCATTTGCAGATGCCTGGAACAGACCCATGGGACAGCCACGGACACCAGCCACATCGGGGTCCTACTCATTTCCCTGTGGCCTGGAGACTGCAAATCTCTGCAAAGGGCATTCTTTACTCAAGGCCCCCTGGGCTGTGTGCGTGCAAGGGGCCGTGTGCACGCAAGGAAAGCCCCCGCAGAGGGAGGCTTTCACACCAGCCCCGACTCCCTCACGCCTGAGCTGGGCTGTGAGGAGCCTGGGCCACGGTGGTCCCGGGCTCCCCTGTGCGCTCATTCTCCAGCCCTTGCAGTGGGAGCTGGCGTCCCAGGTTCTAACAGTGGCCTCCCCTTCCCCGTCTGCTTCCCTAGCTGCTTCACGTCCTAACAGCTGCCTCTGAGGGAACTCAGGAAATAGCATCGGGGCGTGACAACACCCAGCCCATTTTATGGGCGTATCAGAATCCACTAAGGAAAATGCAGCTCCCCAACTCTCTGTTTCTTACATCCCTGTGAAGGTTTTGTGTTGGGCTCCAGATGGACTCTTTTCCCAGAGGCCAACCATCACTAAGGCACAGCTCGGAGCACTGAGCTGAACACACCACAGTCACTGCAAGACAGAAAGGGACTGAAAGAGAAAGACCTGGTAGCCTGTAGGGACAAAGCAGCGCTAAGAGGCTGCACACTTCCCTCTCCACACATAGAGGAAGGAGAGGTGTCCAACCCATCCTTCCCTGCAGCCAGAGTCCTACAAATCCTTACGGCCATACTCAAGTCGTACAAAACGGTGCACGGGCATGTCTGAATGACTCCTTCCCACCACCACTGCGGCCGGGGCTGGAACTCAGCTCTCCACTGACCTCATGCCCAAATACTGGACCATCGAAGGGATGCAGTGGTTGGCCAGAAAGAAAGGGGGAAGGTCATGTGAGTTTCCTGTGGGTTAAGTGACCCCATCAAGGAGGGAGGTTAGAGCTAACTTCCTTGTATCCTGCAAAGGGGATTTCACTGGATAAAGAAAGCTAGCACCAAGAGTCTGGGAGGAAGAGTTCATCAAAGCTAGGCCCCCACATTCCTCCAGAGAGCCTGTATGTTCCTCCTGCGGAGGGAAGCGGGGGGGGGGGGGCAGGACGGGAGAGGCAGCAATGGGCAGACATCAGCTCAGATCTCTTCCTGGAGTCCAGTAAAGACTTCCAACGTGGTCCTTTGTAGACCAGATGACAGAGGAGGAGGTCAGGCCATGGACTTCCCACTCAAACGCCATCCAGAGCTAAGAGTCAAGCATGCCCAGAACCCAAGGCTTACATTATAGATGGGCAAGACTCCACCTTAAGGTTCAGTAGCGACGGTCTCTATAACCAAGAATGATGAGGAAACGTGGGACGTTGGCAGAGTTCTCCTCACCCGAGCTACAGCACCAGCAAGGGAGTTGAAGCAGGTGATGGCAATACTAAGACAGTTGTGGGTTGAATAGCATCACCTACCAAGAAAAGACAGAATCCTAACTCCATCCCAACATGTCAGGATGTTATTTGGAAACAGAGTAATGGCAGATTTAATTAGTGAAGATGATGTCACTCTGGAGTAGGGCAAACCCAATACAATGTGACCAGGGTCCCTATAGGAAGACACCCATGTGAAGACAACAGCACACAGAGAGAAACGATGTAAATGTCAACACCGAGACTGGTGGGGAGCAACTGCAGGAAGAGAAGCCCCAGGGCCGCGGCCACCCCAGAGGGTGAGAGGAAGAGAGGAGGGGAGCATCTCCCCCGTGTGTTTCAGTGGGAGCACGGATCTGCAGTACTTCTTGGCTTTGGCCTTTCAGCCCTGACGACCTGAGAGGAAGCATCCCTCATTTGCATTATGTTACAGCAGCTCTAGGGACTAGTCGTAGAAAGCACTTCACCCACCGCATCGCACCACAGAGCCGCCTCCTCTCCGCCCTGCCACACCCTTTGGTCCAAGGAGACCACTTAGATTGACGGTCTCAACCTGAGAGCTGTATGGGCAGACGCAGGTGGAAAGGGTTGCTTCTGGAAAGCCCCAGATCGCTCAGACCATGCCAGAGACACATTGCAGGGGCCTTCTGAAGACCAGGGGAGACTACCTGGCTCTGAGGGATGAGGAGAAGACCCCAAAGCCAACAGTTCCCCCAAAGCTAACAGTTCCTCCAAGCTCCTTAGATGTTCCCCTGCACCCTACAGTCCCAACAAGTGACGTGTAAACTCAGATCACCAGTATCATGGGCTAGGCATCCCTAGGGCCCTCCCAAGACCCCCCAAATAACCAAGAGCCATCCTCAGCCCCCACTTACTGCCCCTGGTCCGCACACGTGAACACACAGTGACCTGACCTCAAAGCCCAGCTCCTTCCCCAGCTTCTACAAAGAGGCACCCACTCTGAGGACTTAGAAGTGTCCCGCAAAACGCTTGGAACCCTGGTGGTTATGACACAAGGTCAGCATCCTGGACCAAGCCCGCCACCACTGCTGCCCCTCCACTCGCTGGCTCCTCTCCCTGCCCTCCTTGCAGACCAGCCCCAACTGTGCACAAGACATCCCTGGTGACACACGAGCCCTGGGCTCTGCCCCCAGCACCTGTCAGGTTCTGTCGATGTATTTGCCCAACAAATTCCACTTCCTCCCTAAGAGGGATTCAGGCACACCTGTTGGTGTGTGTGTGTGTGTGTGTGTGTGTGTGTGTGTGTGATTTCTGAAGACAGTAGGAAAATATCTTTAAGGAGAAAAATACATCCTCTTAAAAAGCCCAAATCTTACACAGAGACTCCTAAATAGTACTGGAGTCCACGAGAAACATTGTGTTTCTGTCACTGTCAAATGAAGAATCAATACAGAGAGGGCCAGGAAAGGGGGGGGGGGGGTTCTGAGGCTTTGGTGTCACCCAAAAGTAGTGAGCAGAATGAAAGCCAGGCTGAAAGACCCCAGAGCCCCAGCAAGGAGGAGGTGGGCTGGCCCCAGAGCACTGGTGTGTGTGCCTGATCCACCACGCAAGAACTGCTGCTAAGCTGACCCGAGACACGCTGCCCACAGGGCTCTGTCTTGGACCAGACCTGGGGCCGGGCCAAACTCCCCCAGCCTCGGGTGGTTCTGACAATATAAAGGCTACGGAAGTAGAACAGCCAAGAACACCAAGCCATGACACTTTCAATATACTTTATTAAAAAGTTTCTTTGTATAAATTTCCTAAAGATTTTAAAATTAAACCCTACCCCTCCCCGGACTCCCCCCCAAAAATAACACACTAAAGGAATTCCAAAAATATTCTCTATGATGACTTTCTTTCAATCCTTAATTAAGGCTTTGGTCCCAAACAGTGCACACAGATCAATGGGGTTTGCCTCATTCTAACTAGACCATTTGTTGGAGGATTCAGAATAAGAAAATGAGCTAATCCAGCAGTCTAGAGGGTGGGGAAGGAAAAAAGTTGGATTTTTGTTTTTCCATCTACAGCCATGCTTAACTAAGAAAAAAAAAAATGAATCAAGCGGAAGTATATAAAAAGGAGCTGTGACATTGGAATTATTTTCTAGAACTTAAATTTGCCCAGAACAAGTGTAACAGGAAACTCCAGAGGGGATTTGAATGCATAGGAATGTTCACATAAACACCAGCATTGGCTAACTATTACACAATAGTTCAGAGTATACGATGGAGACAGCAAGGGCTCCACAGACACAGTTAGCACCATAGAGACAGGTGGAGCGGCGGAGCAGAAGGCTTCCTCCCAAGGTCGAGTGTCCATCAAAGCCGGGAAATGCCTGGCGCCGGGGAGTCTGCCCCGGCTTCTACAGCGACCGTTGGAAATGGCTGCTTCCTTCTTCTCAAGAGGTATGTGTTGCTGGCCAGCCACGCCTAGGTGCCGATCACATTGATGACTGGTTTGGTGAGCCCTGAGAGTGGATGGAGGGAGAGTTGGGGCGGGGGCAGGGGAGAGGAGAGTGTGGAGAGATGAGACAGAAATAACAGCCGTGTTACTGACAAAAAGGCAGCCGTGGTCTTCTTCTCTGTCTCCCTTCCTGGTTAGTGCTGTCGCTGGCTCCCCAGGGCTTTCTTAGCTTTGGGTTGGGGCCTCTGTTTGATCTGACTGCATTCACATGGCTGATTCATCCCAAGGCCTTTATGCCAGCTGACCCTTCCCCCTTCCCTGCTCTGGCCTGACCCTGGTTCCAGTCCTACTTTCTTCTATTTTCCTGCCAATTGGGGGAGTGTTCAAGATGATAGAAATATTGAATAGCCTTGGTGCTAACATTATTATTCACAAGAAGCAAAATTACTTAAAGATGAACATATGGGAGTATTTATCTTTAGTGTTTTCTGTAATTGATCACTGTATTACTTCCCCAATAATCATGCTTGCTACAACATTCTATGAGTAATAAAGACTTGATAACATTTCTGAAGAGTGACCAAGAGTCGACCGGGTGTTTCTTCACTGGCAATAATACAAGTATGTGTTTTAGGAAACAAAATAACAATTCAAAAAATGAATTTCATGTGTGCTTTTTGGGTGGAACTTATTATTTTGTGTATTTTTAATATGCTTTCTTTGAAAAAAAATATATAATTTGTCTTCTTTGTTTCAGATCTCACAGACACTGTAGATTGGCATATTTTCCGAGGGTAGTTACTGACCTCGCTCCCTCTCTTATTTATCTCAGCTGCTACCGCCAAGTGCAGGGGCTTACCAGGAGCACAGACGGCTTCGCATGCTTCCTGTGAGTCAAATCTGTTCTCGTTGCCCCCACAGCCTCCAAACCAAAACCTCCCGCAGCTTTTGTTGTGATAGTCGTAGTACCAGGCCACCACGAATTTTCTGCATGTTCCCGTGTCCTTGGGCAGCATACATATATCTAAAACATCAAGAGGAGAAAGGCGAAAGGCATCAGAGCCGGGGCAGGCAGACTCATCACCACCCTGAAGGGCTGCTGGCTGGAAAAGTCTCTTCACTTGCTAATCCCCGGGTCCTTCGAGGAATAAGTCAGACTTCCGAAAGGCCTTTATACGGTACACTCCGAATCCTAGACATTCTGTGTTGTTGGATAATTTGACTGGAGAGGATGGGTGAGGGTTGGAGAAGTGGAGGAAGAGGATGTGACGGCGGACATTGATCAGCGCATTGCTCTCATAGATCGGCATGTTAAATAGAAACCTCTGTTCAACTACTTAAATAATGGAATACATACACACACATACGTACATGTAATTTTTAAAGAAAATGTGTCTCCCTCTTTCCAGTCTGTAGGCCATTCTGCTCTCTAATTCCTTCTCTATATAAACTACAATTCAGAGACCACAGGCCTCTCTACTCATTAGCAAAGTGGCATCTAAAGTATGCCAGAATAGCCTTCCAAAAGAGTCTCCACATTTCACAACACACCAAGCAGATGCCAGTTGCAAACAAAGCTGCACGTGATTTGTAGGTACAGGTGTGTGACAGGGTGGGCACCTTCCTGACCAGCCACAGGACAGGAGCACTGAGAACTAGCACTGAGCATGAACTCATGTCAGCAGGAATGCCCCCAGAGCACAGCAGTTTGGAAGTCCTAGAAGCATTGGCCCCAATAAGTAAGTTTATGTTTGCAATACACACGGAGCCCAGCCACACAGGAGCCCTGAGGTCTCTTCAAAATCTGCAGAGGGAAGTTTACATGCACAGTGAAGCTTCTGTTTACAGAACTTTCTGGAAAACTCCGACGTGTTCTGGGAAAGAGATACATGGATGCCAACTGTTATCTGAAGCTAAAAAAATATAAATAAATAAACACCCTTGGAGCAGATAATGCATGCTTGTGTGAAGAATCTTCCAGCTTTCCCCTCAAAACGCCACCTCCACCATCCATGTCTCCACATCCCACACACAAGCATAGCCACGCTCACACACAGGAAATGATAAGAAAACACATGCAACACCAGTCTGAGACCTGGAGACTCACCAGTGCGGCAGGTGCCAGATTTTAGATTCACCTGTATCAAACTGTCTGCAGGAAACTCAAGCCCCAATTTGTGAAATAATCCCTGTCATATGGAAGGGGAGACCCATGTATTAAATCAAGCTAGGTGTGGTGGCACACTTCTGTAATCCCAGTTACTTGGAGAAATGGAGGTAACAGGATTGAGTACTCAATGCCAGTCCATACGAAGTTAGAATATTCTATCTCAAAAACAAAATACAAACAAAAGAACTGGGGTTTAGCTCCAGGGTACAATGATTCCCTATCATAAGCGAGGCCCTGGGTTTAATTCCCAGAACACACACACACACACACACACACACACACACACACACACACATACACACACCGCATCCAGATCAGAATGACTGTAATTCTGAAACTTGGAACTCTATATTTAAAAACAGAACAGCTTTGCCAGATTTGTATTCAAGATTGTGATGTTTATGTTGAGTAGACACTGTTTATATAGCTTCTCCTCTGGACCACACATAAAGGAGCCCACAACATCCCTGAATCTTGCTGTCTAGGAGTTACTCCAAGCTATCTTCTCTCAATGAAGCAAGAATTTGCTAGAAAACAGTCCGTTTTCCACAGGGTGGGGGGTAAAACCAGCTAGAGAAGGGAATAGGGCTGTGAAGTGAGCGCTGGGCCTTCGCTGACCTGCATCTTGGAGGAAAATCCAGTGAGTTCCCTGTGGCTTGGCTCTGAGGTCAGATGTCTTGGGATATATGTGGGGCTGGGGGAATCCTTGTCAGGATAGCTCAGACTGCACTGGAGGGCAGAGGGTAGAGGGCAGAGGGCGGAGGGTGGAGGGCAGGGCTCCCACCAGGCAGGACTGTGAGACTGGGAAGAATGCTTGTGGGCAGAAATCAAAAGTTTTCTTCCTCACCTCCAACCCTCAGTACACATGCTTACTTCCATTTTGAAGTTTAAGTTGAACTGTCATAAATTCAAATTCTGTCAAGTCTTTTGTGATACAACCCCCATGCAGTTAAAATTTAAGTTGGCCCAATCAACCATGAATTCTTGGCTAGTTTCTATACAAGTCTATTCAAAGAAAGCTTCCTAGGGCTGGGAAGGTGGCTCAGTGGTAGAGTGCTCACCTAGCATGCATGAAGGCCTGGGTTCTATTCCTCAGTATCACATACACAGAAAAGGCCAGAAGTGGTGCCATGGCTCAAACGGTAGAGCACTAGCCTTGAACAAAAGAAGCTCAGGGACAGTGGCCAGGCCCTGAGTTCAAACCCCAGGATTGGCATAGCAATAGAAGGACAGAAAGAATGAGAGAAAGAATGAAAGGGAGGAAGGAAGGAAGAAAGGAAGGAAGGAAGGAAGGAAGGAAGGAAGGAAGGAAGGAAGGAAGGAAAGAAGGAAGGAAGGAAGGAAGGAAGGAAGGAAGGAAGGAAGGAAGGAAGGAAGGAAGGAAGGAAAAAAGCGAGCAAGCTTCCTAGTTTTCTATCCGTCTTTCCATTAGAAGGCCTAGAGAAGTTTGAAAAACACATGGCTATTTCTAACATAGCCCAGTTCTTAAACTTGTCTCCAAAAGCAAGCTATGATTCATCTTTGGTTCGGTGGGAGGTTGTTTATTTACCTGTACTAAACATCAATGTGTATAATACTTCCCACATCCCGCCCTGCATGGTCACCTGCGTGGTTGTGATGCTACATGCCTACACAGATCTGACCTGTGGAGGGGTATGCTGGATTAACTCCTTAGTTACACGGACACGGGGAAGCCCCTCCCTGGATGACAGCATCCCGGCAACTTAAGGGCCAAGCGACTTCTCCCTTCTTGTCCCAAAAAGACCAGTGGCGTGGAGGTGTAGGGTGAGGGGCACTCGGAGACATTGAGTTCCATTTCGAGAGCCTCCCCAGTAACCTGGAGCCCTTGTCCTGAGGCACCACAGACCCTGGCAGTCTAGCCTCGCACAGGGGAAGGGACCAGTGGCCACCGGGTCCTGCTTACACCTGGGAAGCGGCTGCCATCCACCTTCCCGAGTCTAGTAACAGGAAGATGCATTTTCATTTGGAATAGCAAGTTTGTGAGTGAATCCCAGGAGGGCTCCTCAGAGCTGATTAGGAACTTCCCCCCTAGAACTCACAGAACTAGCCCCAAGGGGATCCTAGAGTCGGGACTTCAGAAGCCCTTCTGTTCTTGGAGCGCCTTCCCCATACCTCAAGTGGACCTGATCTCTTTACAGCTCACCTGTTTGAGTGAAATCCAATGGTTTCGTGTTCACTATGAGGTTGGTGGTGGAACTAGATGCTGTCTGCACTGACTGTACAGGTGGAGGCTGGGTTTTCTCTACAAAAGAAAAATACATGTGAATAGTAGAAACCAGTGGACCAGGGACTCCTCAGAGACCAATAAGGGCTTGGTTTTCTTGATAAATGCTTTATCTAATGATTGTCCATTGTAAGGGTCATGTGCACACTGACGACGCTGTGGTATACAGGTTACATCATCCATTAACAAGCAAATGGAGGAAATCCCGAAGCCTGGGACAAATCCTTTCATGCCCCACATCATCTCCTCTGCCACCATCCAAGAGCATGGAATGCTCAGGTTGAGATGGTCTTTGTACCTCCAGGCCATGGGTCTGACTCCTGGTGGCTGTGGGCATTCCTGGCCTCAGGATCTTTCTCCTGTGCGATTCACACCCACACAGAGAGAAGAGGAGCTTCTCCCCACAGAGAGGGGCCAAGAAGAACAGCATGGGAAGCCAGAAGAATTCAGAAAGAAGAGAAAGCAAGGCCTGTGAGTGATCAAGAAAGGCTGGAAAAGCCTAGCATAGGGGTCCACGTCTGTAGTCCCAGCTCCTCAGGAGGCTGAGGCAGGTGACCACTTGAGCACAGGTTTTCAAGAACAGCATGGGTGACACAGAGAGTCCTCAGGTCTAAAGCAAGGAGGAACAGGAAAACCAGGAAGGCTGGAAAGGTGTGTGCAGGTGGTGGACAGATGGAGTCCGAAGAGCACAGGACTGCTGGGCTTGGAGGAAGGAGATACAGGGAGCCTCTGCTCGGGCTGCGGACACCCACAGACCAGGTGTCACCAGACTCCTCCATTACGCTCTAAGGAATCAGTGTCACCACACACGGAAACCGTCAGTGTGGCAGCGGCAGAGCCCCGGCCTGAACGGAAGCCCTACTTCCCTGCTTCTACCCCGGACACCTCACGCTCAGGCCCAGGCCTGCCTGGCCCCTGCTCAGGCCCAGCGCAGCTGGTTTCCTCCACCCAGCAGCCCAGGTGTAATGATGGGCGCACATAGCGGGTGCGGGCGCCGATCTTCCTCCCTGTTGTTATACAAAACCAGGGTGCAAGCGAAGCACCCAGGATTTTGTGTTTTATTTCTTAGTCAATAAATCACTGCTACTTTTCTGCCCCACTTGACGTCTCCCGTTGGAGCTGATGTCTTTGCGTGGAGCAGGCCCTCCCCGTACTCACGCGTGCTGAAGCTGCCCTGGTAGAAGGCCCGGACCTGAGAGCGCAAGGAGCACACCACCGCCACGTGGTACGTCTGCCCCGCCCGCAGGCCCCCGACGATGCGGCTGGTGACCGTGAGGTTCTGCCGCAGAACCAGGGACTGGTCGTGGGCCGAGGTGACGGTGAGGTCGTAAAAGTAAGAACTGGGCGGCTCGGGCCTCTCCCAGGAGAGTTTGGCACTGTTCTCCGTGATCTCTGACACCTGGACTTCGCGGGACGCTTGAACTGAAAGACCAAAGCAGAGGGCCCACATGAAAATCAAACCTCCCAGCGCCTATCACAGGGGGCAGAGCAGAGAAAGAGACGTGTGCAGGAGATGACACAAAATTATTTTAAAGGGATTTCCATCTTCTTGCTGCTCACAAAATAAGATGGCTCCCATGTTTTCATAAGCACACACAGTCCGCTCTCATCTGGCTCTGCAACTTGAGTAGTCTTCTGTAGTATCTTCTAGCATCTTCTCTGACAAAATCAATACCCTAACACTCTGGGTCTCATGAGCCCCCCGGCTCTGAAGAGCAAGCTTGGGAACGGTCAGTGTTTGTGGAAAGCTTCATCATTCAAGGTCTCGTTCTGAACTAAACACTCTGAAACTGCCACAGTGCACAATTTGGGGTTTCTTTCTTTGACCGCGGCCGAAGGGGCAAGGAGAAAGTTTATGACCACCAAAGGCTTCATCAGAGTTTCCTGCATCATATTTTAAGGAAGCAAGGAGGCTGAGATCTGAGGATCGTGGTTCAAAGCCAGCCTGGGCAGAAATGTCTGTGAGACTCTTATCTCCAATTAACCACCAGAAAACTGGAAGTGGTGCTGTGGCTCAAATGGTAAAGCACTCACCTTGAGCTCAGGGACAGCAACCAGGCCCAGAGTTCAAAACCCAAGACCAACCAAAAGAGGCTGGGGGAGCTGGCTCCAAAAAGGCATAGAATCATCTGCCTCCACAGCCGAAGAACCAAGGATTGATTCTTCCTTCCTTCTCACTCTACACAGAACACAATCCCCCTTAGAACCTCAGTCCATTGGCTTAGACAACTGGACTGCCAGACAAGCCGGCAGCTTGGACTGGCATCCCATGGAGGATGGGAGCATCCAGCCCATGCCCAGGCAGGGCAGGGTGAGGGCGGGGAGGTGAAGCTAGGGAGGGGGCAGGTGAAGAAGGTGTCAGAACTGGAGCCTACTTCTCAGGGACCTCACAAGCCTCAAAGGGTGTTAGATGAGACTTCCTTCAAATACAGAAGTGATGCTGTGGCAGCCCCACACTGGGGTTGATCCCTTTAACAGCACATCATCCCACTGTGCGTACCCCTGACTGGGGACCACAAATGAGCAGGACACAAGGGCCAGGCCCAGGGCGGCAGATGAGGGCGTAACAACACGGCAGCTCCAACCAGGGCTTCCTTACCTACAGGTTTAGCCGTGGCTGGCTTGGTGACGGCTGGTTTGGCCTGTGGCCTGGGGGCCTCTGGTTTAGTGGCAGCTGGTTTGGCTTCTGTTTTGGTAGAGGCTGGCTTGGCTTCTGTTTTGGTAGAGGCTGGTTTGGTTTCTGGTTTGATAGAGGTTGGCTTGGCTTCTGGTTTGGTTGAGGCTGGCTTGGTTTCTGGTTTGGTAGCAACGGGCTTGGGCTGCGGTGGCCTGGGAGCCTCTGGCTTGGGAGGGGCTGGCCTTGCGGCAGCCACGGCAGGCGGTCTCACCACGGATGGCTTTGCCACTGCAGGCTTCGAGGCCGCTGGCTTCGCAGCCACTGCAGGCCTGACTGTGGCTGTGCTGGGGGCCGCTGGCTTCGCGGGAGCTGGCTTCGCGGGAGGCAGACTGACAATAGTGGTAGGTGTTGTGGTGGTCACAGGCTTCATGGTAGGACTTGAAGTAACATTGTTTGGAATGTTTCTGTTCAAACAAATTAGATATTACCTCTTCCTGTACATTCGCCTACTATCTAAAACACACAGACAAAGCCCCCTGAACTACGTGGATGCTCTATGCTAGCAGCGTGAGTGTGTAGTTTTTATAGATTATGAATCAATAGTATGCCCTTTATTAAACTTCTTGGAATCTGAGTCATTAAGAGAAGATACAAACAGCCTGTAGAAACAGAACCATTCAAAATAAAGTTTGCATTATACTAAAATGTATCAGATCTCTTATTACCAATGTATAAAAAAAAAACATGAAGGGAGTTAAAGGGAATAATAAATTGTATCCAACAATGATCTAATTATAACCATTTATGAAATGAACCTTGTAGCCTGAAACTACATAAAAATGAAATCAGCAATGGCTATTTTGGCTGTAAGAAAGTATCCATGCAACCAAGCAGCTCGCACTGGAAGGTTACATAGTCAGCTTCATATGAAGTCTGCTTGTCCTTCAAGTGCACATATGTTTACATTAATTTCTGTGCATGTTAGTTTCTTCAGTATAATTTCTTGGTCTACTATGTAGAATGTGTCACTGTAGAATAGCAACAACACACAACAACACAATAGCAGGGACCCACACTTGGTTCTTGCTTTTAGATGAAAATCCAATTATTTGATGGGTGTGCATCATGCTAGATGCCACATGCAGTAAAATTTCAAGCTGATTAGTTACAAAACTTCAAATTCTAAGTTATTTTGTCCAGTCTGTTCTTCTATAGATAAGAAGTGTGAGCCAACTATAAGGACTATCCCAGAGAAACCATGAATTCATTTCAAGGATAGAAAACCAGAACTAATGAATCTACTCAAGCAGTACCAGCACCACCGTGCCTGAGAAAGAGACCTAGAAGAATATGCACAGGGCTCCATATTGCTGCCACCATCACTTTATCACAAGAGTAACCACTTTGAGACCTTAGCTGTGGCTGATGGCTTGTACGTGTGGCCTTCCCGTGTCTACGCAGTACATAGTGTGGTGTTTGGGGTCCTCCCCTCAGAGCTAGTCCTCCCCACTTAAATCTAGGTTGGCCATTAGACATGCTTTGGCCAGGAGAATGTTGTGAAGAGCAACAATACATCATGTCTGGCTTATGTGTCAAGAGTCATTGTACTCTTCAGCCTTTTGTAATGGAAGCCTGCCTGCTCACCCTGTGGACAGGCCCAGGCTAGTGGCGTCCTGGTGAGTGAGAGGCCATGTGGAATGGGATAAACCATACCAGCTGGCATCCTCCAAGACCAGAGAGCCAGTGCAAGGATGACCACAAGTATCTACGGAAATCCAGTAAACCAGAACCATCCAGCCGAGCCCAGCCAGAACTTTCTAACCCAAGAATTGCAAGTAAATTATTCTTGCTACTATGTTCCCACTAGTTTGTTAGGAAGCTAAAGCGTGTGATATAACAGATTCTTCTAGAATGCCCCACATTACCTTAGGGAAGTGCTTTCTCTGTATTTCGTTACCCTCATCCATAAAGTTAGGGGCTGGATGGAGGACCAGTGCTTCCCATCTAGCACTATAATTTTTGGAGCAATGATTATAACCACTTACACTTGTTTGTGACCAAACTTCACACCATTGTTCACTGGTTGGTCCCCTTGGAACCAATCACATTGTTTCTTGATATCTGGAGACAAGTAAAAAGCATGTTTACCTGGGGAAAAGAGAGAAAAGAGGAAAAAAAACCATTTATGAACCACAAGGTAGTTAAAATTAGTCCACTAATGAGTTAAAAACAGATTGCATAATGTTTACTTAGCCCATCAATAAATGTTGATTCTATTACTTCTTCCAGACATGCTCAATCCAGTCATCTTAAACATTAAGTATGATGGTACTCGGTCCGCAAAATGTCTTGAGACAATATGTTCTATTTGGCAGTGTTTGGGCGATTAAAGATAATACATATTCAATTCAAGGCAAGAATAGAAGAACATCAAGTGGAGTGTTTAACAAGCTACCAACTCTGAGCATCACATAATAATCTAGAGACATTTGCTGTTTTCTTGGTGCTTTCTTTTAATCCTCTGAAGGCAGGAACTTTGGTCTCTGGGTGTTTCATACCTCCCCCCCCCCAAATCTTCTGGGAGACAGGCCTTTCCCCAGTGAGTCCTGCTCCTATGGATGCTACATCCCCTGAGGGGTAATATGCAACATGGGTGTGTTGGCCTGCACATTCATGCAGTGCACAGCCAGCTGACTCCCCCTGCCCTGTGTCAGCCCCAGGGGAATTTAACTGCCTGCATCTCCCAAGGGGCGTGAAGGCTCCTGGGATCAGAGCCACAAACAAATGACGAGCAGGCTAGGCAATGCACAACCTAACGACAGGTTCCAAGCTTGCCATGAGGCGGCCTTGGGAGAGGGACACAGAGTGAGTGGCAACATAAAGACGAGCTTTGAAGATGGACATGAACTTCCTGTGAAGGTGGAGGCCAGAGCCTTCTGGGAAAGACAAGCCCCATAGGCCAAGAGCCAGAGGAACTAAGCATGAGGTTGCTGGCTAAGCCAGATCAGCGAGATCCTTCTGGAAGGTTTCCCCAAAGCTCCTAACAGGATACCCTTCTTGACGACACACCCAGAAAATGTGTGCTTGAACCATTCACATGCCTAAACTCTGGAACACCAACAGTGCCCTAGGACTTGGGGGGGGATTGGTGGGGGAGTGGTAAATGTGTGCACAGGGACAAAGATCATTCTCTCTGCGTTCCTAGCTCTGACCCCTAAAAGCAAGCATCTGCACCTCATGACAGGTGTCAATATCTATCTGCTGCATGAACGAACATGTTTATATCAGCACACCGATATATTCTCTGTGCTTGTTCCTCCTCCTTTTATGGGCCAGTGTAAAGCCATGATGGGTGGGTGACTTGGGGTACAGAACTTACTGCCGACAAAGGAGGGTAGCAGCCTCCCAAATCGCATCAAAGGCTCTTCGTTGAGCTCGGTGGACTTATCCACTAGTTTGAAGAAGACGTCGTTGGGCTCACTGGCGAAGCTATACACCTCCTTGACGTTCACTTTCCTGCCGATGCCCAGAACCACGAAGAAGTAGCCCTTGCACTTGGCCCTCAGGATGGCTTTCTGGGCCTCCTCCACCTGCTGCTTCTGCAGCTGGCCAGTCAGCATCAGCACCACAATTTTCAGGTCCCGAGGGTTGGGTGCACTTTCAAAGACGTTCTCTACAGTGTATTCAACGGCGCTGCCCAAGTCACTCCTGCCTTGTAGCTGCCTCATTCCCCTGCTGAGGAAATCCAGAAGATTCTTCTTAGAGCTATAGTCCGTCAGGGAGAATTCCACCTTCACCGGCAGCAGGCTGGCATTGCCCACAGATTCGTAGGGGGCGTGTTGCACAACAGCCACCCTGGCAAAGTGCTGGGACCCTTTGGGGTCTGGGCTCAGCTCCAGCTGCCGGACCAGGTAACCGATGTATTTCTTCATCTCGTTGAACTGAAACAGGGTGGTGGACTCCGAGCCATCCAAGATGAAAGCCAAGTCCACGTCCACATTGCTGCCGGCTGCTCTCCTATCCCTGAAGACCGGCCGCCAGCTGCCAAATCCGCAGGAGGGGTCGATGTTGCAGATATCTAGAAAGCAGCACCGCAGCCTGTTTATTCTGTGGCCCTGCTGCTACCTGTCCCCTTGAGAGGCCGAGTCTGGGCCACACCTGCTATCACGTAAAGCAGAAGACTCACAGGGCACGGTGGCACACACCTGCAGCTCCACCGGGGAGGTGGAGGCAACCTGAGCTCCTTACTAAGACCCTGTCTCAGAAGAGTAAAAATAAATGGAAACCCATTTATGTCCTGCTTTCTGAATTGTAGCCAGATTTCAGTTTTTGTCATCTAATTCTCCCCACATTAAACACATCATTAAACGAAAATATGTGTGCTATACCGTAGCACCCACATAGATTTTAAAAGGGTCTGGGAACAAAGCAACCCTTGAACTCTTCATCATTCTTTTCTTCAAAGAAATATGTTCCAAAATGTCACTCACACCAAACATCTCAGTTCTACAACCTAAGGTCAGAACTTGGACAGAGACCACCTTCTCCTTTGTTATCTATAATATTAATTGTTCCTCCCCACAGAAGAAAGCTTTGTTTTGGAAGGCCCCTTTGAAATAGAAAACTAGTTACACTGGTAAATATGAGCTTTTCAGTGAGCCTCCGCATAGCTCAAGTTCTTTACACGGATTGTAATTCCTCACTCAAATGTCCTCCTGCCCCCCGCCTCCCGCCCCGCCTTCAGCTGGACAGCCATCCCCCGTTGGGGAGGAACCTTACCCAGGCAAACGTGGCAAGTGAGGATGTTCTTCAGGAAGTCCGTGAGGTCCCTCCTCGCCGGCAGGACAAGCGCGTGCCCCACAGCGGTGTTATTGATCTGGTTGAAACAAAAGGAGGTGATGATAGCTGTAGCAGTGTGTATGAGAAGATGCTGTGGAATGAGTCAACTTCACATCAGGGAGTTAACTCCCCTGTTGGCCAGTGCCTCCTGTCTGAGGTTCAGGCAGAAGGGGAAGCCAAGAGCAAGAGGGCAGTTTTATCCTATTGCAACAGGCAAGAATCTAAATCCTTCTCGTGCTCTTTCTGCTAGAATGAAAGCAATCTTTTTTAACCTTCCTGGGGGTTCCATTTCCAGTTCCTCAACTGTGAAATGAAGTTAATAGTGCCTTCCTCCTGGAGTTGTGTGGAGGACTAACTTAGATACTGTAAGTAAAGTGCTGTCGTATCTGCAGCAAATACTGGGGATGAAAGTTCCTCTTTCTCCTGGTGCTGAGGACCAAAACCCCAGGCATGGGAACACCAGGCCAGGGAGCACCATGGCTATTTGCAGCAACAACAGCAGCTAGAAAAATGTGAGCTCCACCCCTTCCCCACCCTCTTGGCTTAGACAATAGCGAGCCAAGTGAGGAGACGTCTTGTAGAAGCTGTAATGATGGCTGTAATCATTGCTGCCCTCCGTATGGCTGGAGACAATCATACATTTCATGAAAAGCTACTTTGAATGAAGGAATGAACGATGAGTGAATGGATCCACTGCTGATCATGTAGAAGCCATGAATGAAGACTTACAATTCACCCTGCCTTGCTGTGCCCACCCTAAGCAAGATCTTCACAAAGGGCCCATTGTACAAAGCATCGAGTGCTGGTCTCTTGAGCCCAGGGTTCTACGCGCCAACTGGTCTGCAGTGTTGGGCAGGAATAGCCCAGCTCCCTCACTGACATCAGCAGTAGAGAAACTACAGAAGACCCACACGGGAAGGAAAGCCATGAGAGGCTGTCACCCTGCCTTGCTTTACAGGAGAGAAAGACAGAGCTCTGACTTACAGAATGGACAGGGAATGAGAACAAGGATAAAAGACTCCTTTCTGCCTTGCTTATCTATTGTCCAGGTGTGCAGGTCTTGAATTCTAACATACAACAAGATACAGGAATGGCTCAAGGGGAGCCTGGGCCTCTCTACAGGCTGGCTGGGACATCTGCACAGTGTATGCATTAGGGAATGTCAGAATCACTGACGCTTTGGGATACCTCTTTGAGAGATGTAGTCTGTGTGGCCAGCCCTGGGGGAGGGGGATCATTGTGTGCTGAGCTTTGTGGAGTCAGGTAGGAGGACAGTGGCTCACTGCCTAGCCAGAGCCGTCAGTGAGGGGGAGGGGCCCGGAGGAAGCAGTAACAAGCATAAGCTACCCTGCAAATCGCATGAGGGGTCCAGCTCGGCCCCTGTGATCTTTTAGAGCCACTACAAAACCTCCATGTATCTGACAATCTGCTCCAAGACAAGAAGGGGGAGAGACCACCAGAGCCCCAGAGGCCAGACCTGCAAGGCATTGACGAGCTGCCGGTCTTCCTGGCTCGTGAGGAACAAGGGTGTGATCCCCGCATCGGAGAGCTTGAGCACAGCCTCTTGGAGCTGCGGAGTGTCTCTGGTGGCCTTGTTGCTGAAGAAAATGGCCACTTTCCTCATCAGGAATCCGCTCCTCACACGCTTGTATGTGTTTCTGGCCACAAATGACATGGCGGTCTCCAGACTCTGCTGCTTGGATGTCAGGGCCACCTGCAGGTTCTTGATGCTATCCAGGAGGGCGGACTTCTTCGTAGAGTCAGCAAAGCGGATCTCAGTGGTCACCTCGTTGTTGTAGGTGACCACGGCCACCCGGGCGCCCCGCGGGCAGTTGCTCTCAGCAATGGTCAGATCGCCCACGATCTTCAACACTACATCACGCATGCGGCTAAAGGTGTCTTGAGTGACCCCTTCCGAGGTGTCCAAGGCAAACGCAAGCTCTGTCGGGAAGACAGGGCACTCCAGGGGTCCTGAAAAGAGTGGGGGGTTTGCAAGAACAAGTTTACTCACTAAGAAGGGTCTTTCTTCGCCCAGAAGGAAGTCAAGCCACCAAAATCCACTCACCATAGCAGCAAGCTGTAAGGAAACAGAGAAGAAAAGGTGAGGGACAGGTTTACCACTACGTGAGAACTGCAGACGTAAACCCATGTAGAAAATGATGTACTCACGGCATTTATCCTTGATGTTTTGGATGAGGGCACATTGCTTTAAAAGGAAACAGAGAACGGGTGAGAAAAGCAGGTAGAAGGCTACAAGGCCATGGTTTGCCCCGGACACATGCTACTTACATCCACGGAGTCACCACGGTTGCCTTTGTGACCCTGCGAAAACAAGCAAGGGAAACTGAGAGCACAGCCGACATGCATGATGTGGCTGGGGGGGGGAGGGGGGAGGGGGGGAGGGGGGAGGGGGAGGGGAGGAGGGGAGGGGGAGGGGGAGGGGGGAGGGGGAGGGGGGAGGGGGACAGAGCAGGGAGGGGGAGATCAGCTCTGCGTGATTTACACATGTGTGTGTGGAAATACCACAGTGAAACCCACTGATGTGTACAAAAACACACAATAAAAAGAAACAGTGGTGGAATCTTTGGCCACAGGAACGTGACAGGAAGTCACGGTGGCTTTTGAATAACCTTGACCATGTATAGTCTCTCCCTCTAAATTAAATTTGACTCAAACACTTGAAGATTGAGAGAGAGAGAGAGAGATTGTGTGAAAGACACACAGACAGACAGAGAGAAACAGAGAGACGGAGAGACAACTTTGCAAACACAGAGCGTCCCCTGGGAGGCAGCCTAGCTGTGACGTAGCGCCACACCCCACAGCCCAGAGGCTCATCACCCAATGGAGGTCATGCAGCTGAGCTCCAGTCAGGACATCACTTCTCTGGAGAGAAGCACTTCCTCTCATGTGTGTGCTTCATATATCTTGTCCCCACAGAAACCAAGGTAAGGAATGGCCAAGCCGTCCTAGCTCGGTGAATGTATTTCATCTCCCTGGAGGCCTGCTTCTCCGGCTCTGTGGATGGCTGCCCTCAGAGCCCCATCTAGGTCCCCTGTCTGATAGTCGAGTGATCATCCGTTTGGCCATCTTTCCCTGCAGCTATTTCTCCTGCCCTGCTGTCTGCAGTAAGTGGCTTAGTGTACCCCATTAAGTGGTCCCATCCAGAGAGCAGAAATCAGAACCACCAGGCTCAGCCTTCTCCCTAGTTCAACCAAACCAGCCCCTCAGCCTTTCCCTCTGAGGGATTGTCTGGCTCCTGAGTTATGATGCCCATTTTTTAAAATACATCACTGTGATCATAGGGATGAAGTCATATAAGAAACAAAAAATATTAGTGATTAGGGTTCCTCTCAGATTCGGGGGGGGGGTAGGGGAGGGGTGACCCTGACTCAATAGCTCTCAAAGAGTTCACAGGCCCAAGATAGTATTCCCTAAACACAGGCTTGGCATAGCTACATACCTTCCACAGGATGCAAGCAAGAGGTTTTGATATTTACCTCCGTGGTTTCTCTACACAAACCCATAGGTAGAAAATTACAATATTCTCTAGGCTACTGAGTACCACATGAAGCACAGTGTTGTTTTTTGTTTGTTTAAGATGCTGAGGATCACACCCAAGGCCTCGCGTGTGTCCCGCACATGCTGCACCACTGAGCTACACCCTTCTATCCCTAGAAGATTTTTTAAAAATGTCTTATTACTCTAAACCTCAGAGAAATAACTTTTCTAGAAGGCATCAGAAGGGAAAGGGTTTACAAACAAATAATAAGACAACACAAAAGCAGGAAGCCTTCTCTGTGAGGAATGATGATCGGAAGTTTTCAGGATCAAGTGGGAAACAGCCACACACCCCTTGCCCCTCGTGGTTTGAATAGAGCTGGGTGGGTACTTACAGATGGTCCTGGGTAACCAGGGTCTCCCTTCTGTCCGACTGCCCCCGGAGGTCCTGAGTTTCCCTAGAGGAGGCAGAGGGAACATCACTCAGTTGTGCAGAAGATGCAGCGGGAAGGATGATAGAGGCAGTGACCCATGTTCCTCCTCATCAGGAGAAACCCCATACATGGAGCATGCTTGGTTATAACCAGAATTCAAGCATTGGGACAAATGACCTTAGCAAAGCTGCCATGAGCCCCCTGGACTATGGAATTGGGCAAGATAAGGTCTGACACACACTTGCCCCTGAACCAAGATGAGATTATCTCCCAGCACCGAAGAGAATTGATCAGTACCACTGAGTTAGATCTTGGGTCTGTGTAAAAGGTCAGTCCAATGTTTCAGAACTCTCCCTTGAGTAATAAAAGACCCGATTGGACCGTCTTCACTGACCAAGTCAACAGCACAAGTAGTTACCATGATCAACTGTGTTTCAGGCTAACACAATGATTAGCAACCTATACCTGAGCCACCATTTCCCAATTCATTCAAGTTTCAGTACATTCTCAGGAGAGTGAGGGCCATCCATTGAAGAGAGAAATCCAGAACCAACACAGCTAAAAAGAAGTGATTTCCCCGAGACCATGGAGACCATGTGGAGATCATGGTCCTGGCCGGGTCAGTGTGAGCCTAGGACCATGCCGTCCATCCTCCCAGCCTGGCTCTCCTGTGAACCCGGTGTGGGAGCCAACGTTGCCAACCAGGCCACCTGTGAACCCGGTGCGCTCAGAAGCGGCCTATGTACCTCGCCAAATGCTGCTGCCTTGCAGTGTGGGTCCCTGTGGCCAAATGGGACCGTGCAGCCTGCCAGTGCCCCAGCCTGAGATTTGAGGCTTTCTTACACCATGCTGGAGGTGAACTCAGGGCCAGGGAAGCTTGCAGCGTGTGGAGGAAGGGGCTCCCAGGGACCACAGCCACATCAATTGTGAGCATGTCAACCCGGGGTTCTCCAATCCCACGCTATGCCTGGCCAGCCAAACATAAAAGGGGGGTTGAAGACCTCCACAGTCCACCTGCCACCATTCGCCTTCTCAACCAACTTACCCTCCGGCCTCTGACACCTTTGGGTCCTGGTGCTCCGTCTGTCCCGGGCTCCCCAGGGGTACCCTGGAAAGAGAGCCACAAAGGAGCACTTCAAGATCTAGAGAACTTTCAGCTGGGGGTCCCTGTCCAGGCTCCAGTGGGCACCTGCCTCATATTTTCTAGGGCGGCTGAATGGCTCACTGAGTTGCTTCTCCAGAAGTTTCTAATGTGGTCCTGGCCCTTGCAGACAGCCCGGTTTATTTCAACACTGATGGCCATGCCACATAAGCTAAAGCAGCGCATAGATCCCAGGGTTCTTTTATCATAGCCCAACTCCGCTTACACCTGCCCCACACATTGTCATACACATCGTCACCGCCATCTGCCAGAAGAGCAAGCATCTTGGAGGGGACTAGCCTGGTCCAGGATGGCCCGGTCAGTGAGGGCTGACCCAAGACTAAAGCCAAGATTTCAACTCCTGGACACAGCAGATGCGCCCGCCCCCCACAAACAGCAGGGAAGCTCCAGTCCTTGGAGACACTTACCTTTGGTCCTGGGTACCCGGGGAAACCTCGTTCTCCCTGAGAAGACAAACGAATGACTCAAGATCTTGTCCCCACTTAAAATCATCTCAAATAAACTTTATCTCAAAAGGAAAACTAAGTCTGTAGACTCCTTAAAGCATAAGCTACCACTGAAGTACAACAAAGGGTAACAAGCTATTCCTCTAAAACTTGGACTGAATATGAATCTGTTCTTGGCACTTTCCAGCAAGAAAGGCTCTTCAGGAGCTCCAGCAGGTACATACTTTTTTGCCTCTGCGTCCTTCACCACCAACTCCATCTCGCCCATCATCTCCCTAAGAGAAGGAAAGAAACTATTGCTGTAGGTCGCTGCCAGGCGACCCTACACCCGCCAGGTCACGCCTTGCCCTGGCACAGGGCTGCTGAGTCTCTGGAATGTTTCCAGATGAAGGTGCAAGGGAGAAGGGCAGGCATCTTCCCACTGTAGTCCATCCTCCAGGTGACGAAGCAAGGCCAGGTCTGCCAGTGGTCAGTGCAAAGGGCACCTTAGCAGCTCCCTGGTGCAGGCCCACAAAGAACTGTGAATTGCCCTGGATGAACTACAGTATTCTAAAGAGCTGAAAGGTGCAAACGAAGAGGTTCTGATGGGTGGAGAATCAGAAGCTCATCAAGACGGGGATCTCAGAGCTGAAAGGAAGCTTGGAGGTTACCTCAACTCTGTGCTCACAGCCCGCATGTCTGTTTCAAAAGAGAACCCAAGGCTCCTTCTCCCCCAAGTCCCCTGACATCTCCGATAGGACATCCTGTCCAGACAGGGGTCCTCTCGATGTCCTGCTTTGCATGCTCAGATGCCCAGGCCCACTCTAATGAAATTATCCATTGGATATTACTATCACCACTGAATATCCCAAAAGAATCGGATGAAGATTTCAGATAAAGTGACTTCTTTTAGAACACTTCTATATGGAGTATAGATTGCTTTTCCTATGTGAAAATGCAGATGACTAGCATATCATCAGTGAGTTGTTGGGGTATGTTCAATAACAATTTCCAAAAATAAACTATTGAGGTAATGGATTCTGCTCCTAGATGTCTCATTCAAGAGAATTCATTTCCATTTTGATTGAGGCTTTATTAAACCCAGTTCCACTGCAGCCCAGAGACATTTGCTTCTCCTGGAGTCACATGCACAGGGCTGAAAATGGAGGTGCTTTGCGGCCCAGCAAATCACCACATTCACTTGCCAAGAGAACGTGTCCTTACCACTCTCCCACCAGTGAGCTAAAGCTCACTTTGAAGACAACTGGCTATGTATAAGCAGCAGCGCTTGCTGTCTTCAGAGGAAACCCAGTAATGAAAGGAGCAACACCCAAACATCTCCCTCTTGGACCACATCTGGCTTCACCTGCCAGCAGGGCCACCGTGGCCTTACCGTCTCCCCCCGAGGGCCGCGGCTCCCGATGCCTCCCTTGGGTCCTGGCTCTCCAGGCTCACCCTGGACAGAGGAAAGAAGCAAGGGGAAGGCACTGTGAGCAGAGGGTGGACACAGTGAGCCATTCTGGGGTGGATTCATCTACACAGTAACAGTCCCTGGCAGGGGAGGGGGTGGCTGCAAAGCACACTCTTCACCTTCAGGGTCTGGATGATAGGGTTTTGTAAATCGCAAAAGACCATGTACAGAGAGACAAATAGCTTGTGTTCTCACTCATATGTGGATCTCACAGAGAGCAGAAGGGAGGTTGGTAAGCAGAGAGTGGGAAGGCGGGGAATAGAGATTTCTGAACAATAGAGGTAACCACGCAATGGCTGCCAGCACGTGGTTAGGAAGAGAAACAAGTGCATGTTCCACAGCACCGGGAGCCGGGAGGGAGGGGTTGTAGTTTACAGCGATCCACCATATATCTAAAAATAACTAGATGAAGCGTTCCCCAAACACAGTTGACACTGATTGGCCTGATTTCATCATGTTACATTATATACATGCATCCCGTTGTCACACTCTACTCCATAAATATATACAGTTATTCTGCGCTGATTTAAAAATAACACATGCACGTGTTTGTTTAGTCGTAACATTCCCATGGTGACTCCTGGAAAGAACCCAGGACGCTTCACACTCATCTCTTCTGTGACTCCCAGGCCACAGAATCTACCACTGGGTAGATTTACCCAGTGGGGCGGAGGGGGTTGGGCAGGAGGAAGCCAGTCTCACAAGCAGGGACAGGAGCTGGGACGGGGACGCTGCTGGTGGAATGGATCCATGGGGCGGGACCAGCAAGGGGGTGGGGAAGCCGATTTGACAAGATGAGGTATTAGGGATGCACGTGAACAGGCCTCTGCGCTCAGCAAAGCTTTTTCTTCCTCCAGACAAACCTTTCTTCCCAGAGGACCAGTTCTGCCACGTTCTCCGGGAGCCCCAGCGGTGCCTCCACCTCCCTGCAGCACAAGAGAGGGTGGCGTGAAGTACCCAGCTGTCCCTGCTGAAGGACCCTGGGTGACACCTCGGCCCTCAGGGCTGGCAGCCTGTCCTTCCCACAGCCCCAAGATGTGAGATCACACTCAGTGCTACCACAAATACAAAGAACTCCGGAAGGGACTTGTGCAGATCTGCAATACTGGTGTGACGTCTCAGGGCTAAGTTTTACACAGGAATGCATGCTGCCATTGTCTGTGTGTGCCTGTCAGGACCCAGCCAGACTTCCAGCCCCTGGCCTCATGACTTGGTTTCCTCTACTCTTCTACTCCCTACACAGAGCCACTGAGGTAGGCAGATAGCTAAAAAACTTGCTGAGTCGATGAATAATCAATAAATGAGAGTAACTCATAAGATGGGGTACAGCCTATACACCCCAAGATAGACAGAGCCCGGCCCCCTCCATCCCAGGCCATCAGTAGAAGGGTATTTCTGTCCCTCACAGCCAATAGCTGACACATCAGCATGCTGGAGTCTGAGGTAGATCCTAGCACTCTTAAGGTCCACCCTCTGTGTTGAATTTGAGGATGAGGGACTTCTTAAGAAAAGTAATGGCAATCTCTAGCAGAAGGGACGATCTCTAGGGGCCAACACAAAAATACTTCACACAGCCTACACATTTCGGCAGCCTGGGTTTGATACAGTCCCATCCTAGGGCTCCTCACATGGTCCTCTTGTTTTAGCACCCTGGGTGGGTTTGGGAAGGCTCCATCTGGAAGATGGGGTCTCTCCTTTCCTTGGGGTTTTGTAGCCAATCACTGTGAGGACCCAGTTTGACTCCAGCCAGGGTCTGAGGGGCAGGCCTGTCTATAACACACCAACCCTGGAGTCTCAGCCCCTTTGGCCCTGCTGCACTATGTTTAGCTCACACTGGGTCAGAGAGAGACAGACTTACCCGAGATCCAGGTATGCCTTGCTCCCCCATCAGGCCTGGAGGACCAATGGGACCAGGCGGGCCCTGCAGGGTAAAAGGTCAATCATTAGGCAAGAGCTGTTGAGTTTGCTCTCCGTGAGGATTCCACAAATGAAACCCATTCTTGGTAGGCAAAGCAGGGGGAACCCAAAGGCCCAGCAATGACAAATCGATCATCTGCATTATATCCTCACAATGGAATCTTGCCCAGCCATTGAAAGCAATGGAATTCTAATAAATACCACAGCGTGGCTGAAGCACAAGATAATTCAACAAGAAAAGCCAAACACAAAACAAGCCACCTGTGAAATGATTCCATGGCTATGAAGTGTGCGCAACAAAGGAAGATCTAATAGCGGTGCCCAGCGTCCAGGGTGGAGGGTTGAGGAGAGGCTCTGGACACAGCCTCCTTGGAGGTTAATAAAAATATCTCACAATATTGCACAACATGATGATGTATTCCCAGGACTCCCGGTCATTCGCTTTGAAAGAGCTAATTTTGCGTTGTGTGAGCAGCACCTCAATTTAAATGACAATACTGTGGGACGTGGGGAAATATCACAAGGCACGCAGTCACTACGGACTGACCTGGGCTCCTCTGGCCCCCTGCTCTCCTTCGAATCCTGGCTGGCCCGGACCTCCTCGGTTTCCCTACGAGACAAGAGAAAATGGAGCATCAGCCCTCGGATCTAGAGTCAGTCCTGGACTGGGGACACATCCGGGGGAAACACAGCTCCCCTGGGGTCTCAGGTGACAAACACTGTAACCCCAGAGTGAGACCCCGAGTAGAGCAGCTAGCGCTGGGCTGGCAATTATTCCTTTCCCTCTCCTCCCATGATCCTCACAACGGCTTTGTGGAGGGAAGATACTTTAGACCGAAGCCTGCCTGGGCACACCGTATGAGAAAGCCTGGGATTCACCTGCTCGGCCATCTTCCCTGCCGGTCACCACCCTTAGGCCTGATCATTTCAAAGACCTTATAGAAGGGGCTGAGGTAGAGGCAATGGTAAGCTAGAAGGCACAGGCCCTTTCATCCGAGGCCACGGCAGCCTGTGGAAGGTCTCAATCCCGGGCTAGCTGTGTTCCTTCAGTCTCCTTAGAGTCTGGGTGAGTGACAGTAGGGCTGAAGAACAGGGACACCAATCCTGGGACTCACCTTAGCTCCCACGGGTCCCCTTCGGCCAAAGCCTCCCTGTGGGAGAAGTCACACAAGCTGTCAGGAGCAGGCAGGGGTGCTGGCATGGGGTCTCTACGCCTTAACATCCATCCGTTGCTGGTCTCCACCTTTGTGTCTAAGGCCAGAACCCAGGCCCTGGTAGCTCTAGGGAAACTCCCATCAGAACTTCCCTCCTTCTTCTCCCATCTCAGAGGCATTTCTCTCCCATGCAGCTCCTGCTAAGTCTCCAGTGAATGTTGTGAGAATTACTTCAGACAGGCCAAGCAAAACAATGCCTCCTTCTGGCTACACGGGCCCAGCCAATTTCAAACGAGGGCTGTGAAATGAGCCTGGCGGCCACCTTCCCAACTGCACTGAGCCACCATGGAACACGTTCATTATGGTAGAGCTGAGTCCCAAGTTCGCCAGATGGCCCTGTCCAAGTACAACTCCAGCTCAGTCAAGCAAAGCATCCCGAATGCACACACATGAGCCTAAAACCTGGGCTGTGTCTTCCCAGAGCTCTGCAGGTGGCCCTTCCTGCAAACAGGAGGGCTCGCTTTGTAAGCAGCCCCTTCGTTCCTCCGAGGTGAAGGGTGGTGTGAGAACCTGGGATGTCCTGGGTGGTTTTTACACCATCAGAGGCTGGCACTCCAGAACCTGACCTGTGCCAACTCCGTTTTAGGCTTGTTCCTCCACTGATCAACCCAGGAACCACATTTTCCACTCTCGGTGGACCAGTCCCGGCATTTGCTGCAGTGACCTCTGCCATCATTCGCTGGAGTGCCAGCCACACTAATGAAAGAACTCAGACTCCTTCCATGGGTAAGCCTAGGGGTTGGTTACTCTCCACCTGTACAGAGTACTGGTTCCATCTGGTCCCTCCCAGAGGAGGCAGTCTCTAATTCAATCAGAGTCCACTGCTACCCAAGGACTTGTTGAGGCCCCAGCATGGTGGCTTGAAGACTGATCTAACCCATTGGTTGCGGGGAAGGGGGTGCATCTCCATCCCAGGGAAGGGACAAAAGGCCTCTCAGCCAGCCCTCACCCTGATAACAAATGTACTGCTTCAATGAGCCCCCTAGCCAGACCCCCAGAGCCCTTGTCTGCAACAGAACTCAACTCAAGGCCCTACCTGGCCTGCGGTTTTAAAGCCAATTCTATACACTGCAATGCTTCCAATCATTCCTTGAAACCAACGTGTGAGTTGTAATCACCCACTGCAACCATTGATGAGGGTGTCCTCATGTTCTCCCTTTGTACATCTTAGCAGGATTCGTCCAGAGTCCTCAACTTTTTAAGATAGGGTTTCTGACTTTTGCTGGCTAATGGGTTTAGAAGTATAATGAACCCTGTGGTAAGTGATTACAGAGGAGGTACTAGTCCCTCTCAGGAGCCCCTCACCTTGGCCACTCAGCTGCTGGGGCCCAGAGGATCAGAGAGATGGAGGGAATCTTCTCAGCTGCCCAGCTCTGTGCTGTTTCTTTCTGAACAGAGACCTGTCCTAGGCCCCTATCAGCGTGCTCAACTTCCCCTGAGGGTCACAACCTTCCTAGATCTCCCCGTACAGGGACCCTCTCCCCCCAGCCACAGGGACCTGGCTCTCTGCACATCTGAGTCCTGGAAGCTTTCAAACGTTTTCATGGGGATGATTTATGTCACCTGGACTTCTGCATTTCTTCACCACAAGTGTGAGACAAGGTATGAAATAAGCCTGCAAAGACATTCCCAACCTTCCAGACACAGCTGCAGAAAGCAATGCTCTCAAACAGCCGCAGCCACCTCCGTGTGAATGACGGTGGCCCACAAAACACTACCACCAGGCTTTCCACCTGGATTCTTAAACTACCTCATGAGATAAGAACCGGCCAGATAACTAAAAGGCCTCAAAGACCTGTGTCTGGGTGTATGGTTTGTGGCAGGGAGGGAAAAGACATGAGCTTGAGGGGGAAGAGAAGAAAAACTAGGAATAAATCCTAAGAGTTAACGCATTCTGTAAATAGCACTATTGGGGTAGCAATCCAAAGCTTGCCCTTCCACCATGGGATAATGCAGCACGAAGACCCTTGCTGGAGACTGGAACCGGGGTCTCAGACCTCACAGCCTCCAGGGCCGTGGCCCAACTAGATAGGCTGGAATGTAGACAGGCTGGGTGTGGCTCAGCGTGCACAAGGCCCACTGGTCCAGACCCCCACCACCCGCGGTGCCGAAGACCTCTGCTCCTTTCTAATTACCAAGCCTCTCATGTTCTGTTAGCACAGTGCAGGACCTGGGTTCATAAATCCCTTTAGATTCCCCTTTAGAGCTGGCGAGACCTGGCAGGGAGGCTGGCTCTTGTTAAGCGCCCCACTGCCTTCCGGGAGCCCTCAGGTACTCACATTCTTGCCAGGTTCTCCTGGGCTTCCAGCTACACCGTCTCTTCCTGGAAGACCCTGGTGTGAGGAAAAAACGGCATGAGAGAGAAAATGTGTGTCTGTGGAGTGTTGCCCAAAACACTGCAGGTAAAGGGGTCTGTCCGTTCCCAGGGGAGGGGTCATCTGAAAAGGACGGGGAGTCACAGGGCGCGCTGTGAGCGGAGCAGACTTAGTGCTCCCTGCACATCAGGTGACTTAGCCAGCACTTGCCCGGGTATCTGAGCGGCACGTCTGCCCAGACACAGCCTCCTTTGGTTAGGGAAGCCCTCCAGGCCTCCTTTCCCAGCACACATGTAACAGCCTCATGGGGACTCTGCTCCACTCAGCGACTCTGTGGTACTCAAAGGCCGTGTCCACAGCCTGGACTGGGGAGTCAATGTGCCCGCTACGTCTTTGTCCCTGAGCACAAGGAGAATGTCTGAATGGGGTGCACTGTACCATGGGGCCGATGTCACCCGTCTCTCCTTTGGGTCCTTTCTGCTGGCTGTCGCGTCCAGAATCACCCTGAGAGGAACAAGGGGTGCGAACTGAGCCGCCCAGGCAAGGATAGTCACCATTGCTGGGTTGGCTTCTCCAAAACGTATCGGTGACATTATGAATGCAAGGTCTGACAGGTGCTCCCTTAAGCCAGCCTCCCACACACACCCCTCCAGATAACATCTAGCCGATGTTGACAGAGCCTGAACATGGGCTCTGCAAACCTCTCTGGCCCCAACAAGGTGGCCAGGGGTGGACACCCAGGCTCCCTGGTGCCATCCTCAGCCCTAGAGGGAGAAAGCCTGAGGGAGAGGCCAAAGCAGCCGTGGTCATTTTCTTTCAATGGTTTACAGAGCTACAAAATGAAGAGTGCTGCAAATGGTTTTCTTCTCTAACAGCAAATTTACAGAGTGCCAAGAGGGCCTTTGAGGAACCAATGAGGTTCCTAAGCACAGTTTGCCAAGAATTAGCTTTGTAACCCAAGAGTGTAGGAAAAGGGAAAGCACACAGCTTATCAATACATCCCAAAGCTATGCCAAAAGAAAGATTCTTCTTTGCATCTTCTCCCACAGTTCTGTTCCCCAGGCACGTGTTGAAGAAACCATAAGCAAACTGTCCTTACCGGATCACCCCGAATTCCAACATCTCCTCTCTCTCCTTTGTCTCCCTTTGGTCCTTTATCACCCTACACAAGATACACAACCAGAAAATTGAAAAATTAGGTGTTTCCAGGTTTGTTGACCAGTGTTATTGTGGCTAGTTCAGGTTCACAACCTGTCACTAGGAAATACAGACATTTAATGAAATGGTTGCTCGGTTCCCTTGGCCGAGCAGCTCCTGAAATGCACCCACTTACTGAAATCAGATCACAACACCATTTTATTACGTAGTCCTGCTTATGTGACACAGAAGGACTCTGGACTTGGTCATCAACTTGGTTATCTTGCCCTGAAAAATCACCTTCTTCACTTTGTGTGGGGCATTTATTTGTTTTGCATAAAGGTAAAAATCACTTCCAAATAGATCGTATTTCTTCAGTTAATCTACAAGTATAAATTGGGGACACATTGTATGGAGATGTGTTTATAACAAAACCAACCTAGTCCCTGCCCTCGGGAGCAGGCTGCCCAATCAGAAAACACCGCAGGGTGTGCCAGAGCAGATAGGAGATGTGGGGGGCCCCCGGCACACCTGCAGGGGTCAGAGAAGGCTGCCGCCACACAGAGGACAGACGATACCTGTCCAGGGAGGGTCAGCACCATGGAAGCACTTACCCGCCTTCCCAGGCTCCCTTTCTCTCCAGAAGAACCCGGCAAGCCTTTGTCTCCCTGCAAAAACAGCAAGAAACACTCATGCCTGGCACAGCTGCACCCATAGACCATTTGTGCACTGCCACAGCTGTGGGGATCTCTGGACTTAGAAGGTAATATCACCCACCTCCTCACCGTCGAGACCATCCAGCCCGATCTCTCCTAATTCACCCTGAAGAACAAGGCAGACATGTGAGTGCCAGAAACTACACTGGCAAAGGGGGACATAAGAAATACTGGGAACATTTTCAATGCCAAAAGCAAATAAACATGGGTACCTTTTCTCCTGGGAATCCTCGAGAGCCCTGGAAGGTAAAGGAACAGGGTGACACCAGTTATTCCCACATGGCTGGTTCCTTGGGGAAGAAGAGCCCAAGGGATGCCCCCCACCCACATATGAACACACCCAGAGACCGGAAACCTCACTATTAATACACCCAGAGCCCGGGAACCTCACTGTTAATACACCCCAGAGCCTGGAAACTTCACTATTAATACACCACAGAGCCTGGAAACTTCACTATTAATGCACCACAGAGCCTGGAAACTTCACTATTAATACACCACAGAGCCTGGAAACTTCACTATTAATGCACCCAGAGCCCAGAAACCTCACTATTAATACACCGCAGAGCCCAGAAACCTCACAGTTAATACACCCCAGAGCCTGGAAACTTCACTATTAATGCACCCCAGAGCCTGGAAAGCTCACTATTAATACACCGCAGAGCCCAGAAACCTCACAGTTAATACACCCCAGAGCCTGGAAACTTCACTATTAATGCACCCCAGAGCCTGGAAAGCTCACTATTAATGCACCCCAGAGCCTGGAAACTTCACTATTAATGCACCCCAGAGCCTGGAAACCTCACTATTAATGCACCCCAGAGCCTGGAAACCTCACTATTAATGCACCCCAGAGCCCAGAAACCTCACTATTAATGCACCCCAGAGCCTGGAAAGCTCACTATTAATGCACCCCAGAGCCCAGAAAGCTCACTATTAATGCACCCCAGAGCCCGGAAAGCTCACTATTAGAGATCCCCTCTGCACAGGTGCTGCCATCCACGGAGTGTTACAAAGTTAGTCTGCCTGGATCTCAACTATCAATCGATTCCTGGCTCCCTGGGCAGGAGGGGTAACTCCAAAAGCCAGGAAAGAAGCTCCGAAGGCAAAGGCCAGTTTTGTTAACTTTGTGTCTTTTCTTTGGAGGGGGGGCCGTCGTGGGGCCTGAACTCTGGGCCTGGGTGCTGTCCCTCAGCTCTTCAGCTCAAGGCTAGCGCTCTACCACTTGAGCCACAGTGCCACTTCCGGCTTTTTTCTTTTTGCTTATGTGGTGCTGAGGAATCGAACCCAGGGCCTCATGCATGCAAGGCAAGCGCTCTATGACACTGAGCCACCTTCCCAGCCCCAGCTTTGTGTCTTGATGCTTCATCCCTCAGCACCTGCTCCAAAACACCAGCGAGAAGAGTGCAGTTTGGCAGTTTGGCAGCATGGAAGCCTTGTGCTGCCCATTCTGGCCCCCCCACCCCCATCCCCGGGGCACAGGCCCCAGACCACTTGGCCCAGGCTCCCTGCAGCGCCCTCCTGACTGCCTCCTGGCTGCTCTGCCTTTCCATAGGAAACTATGTCTCCACTCCCAAGCTGCCTTCCAGCTGTGGCTGGGCCCTGTCATATGACTTGGAGTGGAGCCCCCACCTGATAAGAGGCTCTGGCTGCTGGACAGAGAAGCTGGGCTGGTGGCCCTGCTCCTGGGCCCTTGGAGAAGCTGTGTGTGTGACACACACACACACACACACACACACACACACACACTAGTCAGACCTCCCAGTCCCACACGGCACCTTGACTCCTCTCTGGCCCGGACAGCCCTGGAAACCTTGAGTGCCGTTCACACCAGGCGGACCTCGCTCACCCTGTTGGGGAAACAAAGGCGTTTGACAAACCCAGCTCCTTATCCTGTGTCTCTGCGGGGTCTGCCTGCTGGAGAATGACGTTGAAGGAGGACTGGATTTCAATGTGACCGTACTGAGCACACAGGAGCCTCCACGCCCCGTGCCAGGCCTGAGGAGCGCTGAAGCTGCCCAGCAGGGCAAGCACGGGGGGCACTGGGTGCCCCCACTGCAAGAAGGCTCCCTCGGCCTGACCCCTCCTCATGTGCATGGTTCCCAGCTGTTCCGCAGGGCCAAGGCTCAGCCCTGATGCCCAGAACCTAGCCTGGGGACCTGAAGACATCTCCACCTGCCCCCAGGACTCCTGGTATCACGTGTTCAGGCCTAGAACTTGTTCAAAGCTCTCAAAACCTCTCAAACCCGCATCTTTCTCTCTCTCGCTCTCAGACCTCGGCCCTATCACCCCAGGCCCTGCTCTTCCCCTCCCCCGCTGGGCCCTGGACATGGGTGGCTGGGAGAGCCCTGCAGGGTGACTCACAGCCTTGCTCTGTCCCTGCTCCCCACCCTCCCGATGCCCACCTCTGCTTGCACATCTTTCTCTAGTAGACACCGCAGATGCCATGTTCCGTGTCCTCTGACTTAGTCCCTCCCTCTGAACTGGACCACACGCAACCCCTCTACCTCATAGGTGCGTGTGTATATGCAGAGCACGCTGCTGTTTTCTCTAGTGGAGAAATCCAAGCGTAGTTGTTAGGGAAGCTGGAAAATAAACGTTCTCCTAATGAGAAAGCCATCACCAGCAACTGCCTAGGGAATGAACCCCATAACAGAATCCCAAATGTGGGGGACAGTAGGAGGTGAGAACAAAGGAACAAAGCAACGTCCACTCACAGGGCCGCCCTCGTCTCCAGGATAGCCTCGGTAGCCATCTTCTCCCGCAATGCCCTGAAACAAAGGACAAGGGTTTCTGGTTAGACCTCGGGCCAGCATGGTTCCGTGCAGAGTGTCTCGGCCATACCTGCACGTGACTTTGGTGAGCAGCACTACGCGTTAGTGTGGCTCTGAGCATGCTTGGAGCTGAACATCGCTTCTTCCTCTTACTATTTCAATGGTATTACTTTTGTTCTTTGAGGTTCTTACTTTACCAAGAAAGCCAGTTGGTTTCCCACTGACGGAAGGTCACTTGGTAAGGCTGACTAGCCCACTGGTGCTACTGTGCACCCACTGGTTTTAACACGGCCTTTGGACATGCAGAACCTGTGAGTTAGAGAACAAATTCCCTCCTCCCACAGGAGAGGAGAAGCCGGCTGTCACTGCGCCTTGGACCCGTTGTCCACAGCCTGGGGACAGGCCTCCTTCCTCTCCTCCATGCTGGCCATTTGAAAAGTCATCAGCCAGTGAAACATTGAAGTCCAGCCACAGGTGCTAAGAAGCCGGGTTGAAGCCACCCTACCTTCGGCCCAATGCTGCCAATGGGTCCACGGTCTCCTCTCTCTCCAGAGCATTTGCAGGGAACCCCACAGCACGCTTTCTCAGCAATGTTGTCCTACCAAACGGAAAATCAAATTTAGATCTCAAGAAAGATTTGGCCAAAACATAGCAACGTGTTACTAATGGTCACAGCTTATTGCGCAAATTTCACAGTGGAAGATGAAACCACGCAGATCGCTGGCTCTGCAGAACTGGGCAGGCAGGAGTCATCACTGATAGAAGAGCAACCAAGCATGGTAAATGTCCTCTTAGACCCGGCTTTGTTTCTAGAACTTTCTAACCCTGGCATTGAAGTTGGAAATGTTAAGGCTGTTCTAGTCGTTTCAACTATAAATACAATGCCTACAAATACAGGGTTAGGAATTCAGATAGGAGCTCTGTGGCACTCCGTCCCCAGAGCTGGATCAGAGTCCAGAAAAAGACATCAGCCACCAGCCTGGAGGGAGTCCTGAGCTTCCAGAGGCAGAGTGAGGCCTCCAGCCCCCAGACAAGTGACACAGGTCACTCCAGGCTTGACCTCTAACACCACCAGACACCCCCAACACTCCTTCCCTACTCCAGCCCCTGACCTCATAGGCAAAGTGCACACCCCAAGCATGTCTCCATCTGATCAGTAACGGTGGTCACAGGAGTGTCTGTGCGATGAGCTTCTTAGTGCTCTGAAACTGCCCCCCTGAAACTGACCCCACTGCTCCCACCTTCGAATGCCATCCATGGAAGAAGGCGGGGGGGGGGGGGGAAGGGCAGAGGAAGGCCATCCCATTCACCTCGCTATCACCACGGATGCCGCTACCCAAGAACAGCGGCGGTCCCCCCAGCCCCGCTCCACCACCCTGCTCTGTGTAAGCTCCTCCCGCTGAGAGGGGCTGAGCAGGGTGAGGCACAGAGCGCCTCCTCCCAGGACTCCTCTCGCCAGGAAGGAGCCCACAGGAAAAGGCCATAAAGGCAGAGCTGCGCCTGCAGCGGCCTTGGGCCCATGTGTCACTTCATCTGTGGACCCTCCTGTGGACACGCTCTCCTGTCTCCTTCCTGCCAGCAGGTGGTCAGTCTTGATGTTCTGTACTCTCAGAAATCCCAGGAGTTAAATGATGCCAAAGGAATTTAGCTGTGCCTCGTGGGAGCAGAGGAAGTTCTAGCATGCCAGCAAACCTGCACACCCATGTGCCAGCCCACCACGATTGCAGCTGCATGACAGCACCATTCCCTCGGGGCAGTAGGAAGTGAATTATCCACCACCCACCCTCCCCCACTCACTTCCAGCCCCTCCCCGGTTCACCATTACACAACACACTTTCATTGACTGTGCCCCTCCCCAGTCCATCACCACCCTCTGCCCCTCCCCCATTCACCAGGCCATAACTGGCTTCATAGTCCTGATTCCAAAAATTATAGTATCTAGACTAGATAGTGTATAAAAACCCTTATTAAAAACAAAAGCTCACCAGCTGTTCCGCAAGTTCGTAGTCCAAGTCAAGCAAGTTGAGGCTCAGGGGCCGGTTGTACATGAAGCCCCGTCCAAACTCCAGCTGGGACAGCTGGTCCATGTGGGAGACCCGTTCCAGACCCACCAGGATCAGGGTCCGGACACCTACAAGGAAAGACCCATTCCAGAGCGTTGCCCAGGGCCAGACGCCAGTTTTCTCCTGACTTTGGTTTGGTTTGGTTTCATTGCATGTTGGTGCTGGGGGTCAAACCCAGAACTCTGTGTGCTCACCATGGTGCTATATCCCTGACCCTCCCTGGATTTCTTTTTTACTTTAAAGAACCACGTCAGTATAAATGTAGCTTTACGCCAAACACATCTGGTGCTCTGAGCAGGTGAGACCAAAGGCTTCCTCAGGGTGTGTAATGGCCTTACTACCAGCATGGGAAGTAACAGTCAGACAGCATGTCACATACGTGTGTAAACCCTGGCCCCGCACAACAGAGTGTGCTATGGAAGAACCAGAACACTCTCCCATCCCAAACCAGAGAACAGCAGTTTCCTGCCATTGCTGGAAAAAAAATAAGCTATGGGTAGAACATTTTTAACATAGTTTGCTTCCATAATTCCCTCTTAAATGTTTGCTCTTTGGCAGCCATGTTTTCAAAAAGGATTAAAAACTCCCAAAGCACAGATGCATAGCTGCATGCCGCTTACCCAACTGTGGGGCATTTGGCAAGTGTGCTCACATTATGCATCTATTTTAGATTATGTATAGATTTTAGATTATTTATATTGTTTTAGATTATTATTGTTTGATATGTGTAATGGCCACTGACCATGCAGCAATCTCTTTTGTTTGTATATTAATTCCTGGTGTGCGCGATGGACTTAAATGAACCGATACATCCATTCTTTTGCAAAGAGAACCATACGTGTGAGATGGCCTGCCATCTGCATAGGTGTTCACACCTGCACTCCTGTGCGAGGACTTGGAATTAAAGCTGCCCATGGTCAGAAGGAGGAAGTGTCGTTAGCCTCATCCTTCAGTCCTCAATGAAGGAAGAACCCTCCAGCAGGACCCCCTCCCCGGCTTCCGAGGACTCTGCTACCACAGAGCTTCTTCTCAGCAGAATGGTAGGCCCCATGTGGCCTGACCTTGCTCTTCATATTTAGGAAGCCCCAGAATCTACCTTCTTGTCGGAGCTCCTCGGAAGCTCTGTGTAAGTCAGCCAGGTCTCCGTCCACTCCATCAGAAAAATGAATCACCACCTGCAAGCCAAAAATGAGTCAAGGCCCAGGCTAGACTGAAAAGAAACGCCACAGAGCATCAAGAGCAGCTGAGAGGCTATGGCTGGGTCCAGTCCTTCGTGTTGCTGCTGCAGAAATAAAAGGCCAAGATGAAGAATATTGTGCAACAAAGTGTAAAATAAAGGGGTGTGCTTGACCATTGGATTTGTTTTCAAAAAGTGCAAACAACTCTGAGAATAAGAAACAGAGGCATTCTTTTTGCAGGTTGTGTGCATGAAATGTGCGTCTGTCCTGAGCTGAACTGGATCCTGCAAAATCTAAACAGTGAAGGCATGACCCCAGTACGTTAGAGATGGGGCATGGAGTGGCCCTCAACCCAGAGCTTCTGGTGTCCTTGTGACAAGAGCACATTAGGCCACCGGGAGGAAAGACACAGGCTTCCAAGGAAACCAGTTCTGACAGCATCTTAGTGTCAAACTTGCAACCCAAGTTTATTGTGGTTTAAGCCACAATAGCTGTGGTATAAGAGCAGCCTTAGCAACCTAGTTCACTGTGTGAATGGGAACCTTGTGTGTGGGGTGTGTGTGTGTGTGTGTGTGTGTTGTATAAACAGAGAAACAAAGAGGAAATAGAAATAGAGGCAGACAACAGACCATATTGAATGGGTAGAAACAAAACTAAACTAGAGATTATCATAAACTCAGCTCAAGCTTAGTTACCGGCTCCCTAGGTTTCTTACACAAGACTGGCAAGATGAGGAAGACAGAACATGAAGTTACCATGGGTTCATAAATGAGGAACTGCTCAGCATGGACAGTAACAGCCCAATCTTATGTGTGTTTATGACTCAGGGCTCCCTGGTATACACCATGCACATAGTGTGTGTAAGAATGACTCAGGGCTTCCCTGGACAGACCCCTTGTACACAGTATATATAGGAATGACTCAGGGCTCCCTGACAGACCCCACATACACAGTGTGTATAGGAATGACTCCGGCTCCCTAGGCAGACCCCACATACACAGTGTGTATAAGAATGACTCGGGGCTCCCTGGACAGACACCACATACACAGTGTATATAGAAGTGACTTGGGGCTCCCTAGGCAGATACCACGTGCACAGTGTGAATGACTCGGGGCTCCCTGGACAGACCCCACGTACACAGTGTGTATAGGAATGACTCGGGGCTCCCTGGACAGACCCCACGTACACAGTGTGTATAGGAATGACTCAGGGCTCCCTGGACAGACCCCGGGCTGCTTACCTTCACGCTGTCGGGCGAGGACTGTCGGAACTTGTTCTGGTAGAGCTTCAGCGTGTCGGCCGTGAGGACGTATGTCTGCTGGTTGCGCATGCCACGGACCTTCTCAAACAGTTCTGGCTGGTACTCGGCAAAGTCAAAGGCCTCCACAGGTCCCGTTGGCGTGTTGGCCACCACTGATACCCGCACGACGGGCAGCTGGCTGCCACTGCAGCTGATTCTTTGCATCTGACTGATTCTATTCAAGATGTCATCCACCTTGGACTCAAGGCCCCTCTGGGCCATAAACACATTCTGACCTCTGGATCCATCGAACCCTAGAATCACTTCCACATTACAAGCTGGAGAGGAGAAATGTGGACCATGAGCACCAAGATGAAGCTGACGGGAAGAATTCTATTTTAAGAGTGACAGGCACTGCCCTGGATATGAGTTATCACACTGCGTGAGAGCAAGAAGAGCTTGGGGCTGGAGGCCTGGCCCAGGGGCTAGAGCACCAGCCAATGAGTGAAAGTGCCAGACACTGAGTTCAAGTCCCCACTCTTGAACAAAACAAAACAAAACAGAAAAAAGAAGAGCTCTTTCATGTATGAGCTCTGAGAAGCAATTAGATTGCCTTCTCTCACAGGGAGGGACAGATGAAGGATGTGAGGATCCACAGTGGCGAACCACTTTAATGTATGATTTCTCTTTTTGGAAGTGTTCGTCGATTTTGATGTAATAACATACAACAGGTGTTTGAAAGCTCTGACCTCAAAGTTTTGGTCCAACAAATGTAAAAGTGAACAGGAGAATGAATGAATTTGAATTATTTAAGGAACCACCTAATAAGAGAAAATAGCTTGAGCTTATAAGGGCAAAAAGGTGGTCAACTATTCTTATCTTGGAAGAACATTCTCCAACAGTGGTCATCTGACCCAACCCGTGTGTGTGTGTGTGTGTGTGTGTGTGTGTGTGTGTGTGTGTGTGTGTGCATGTGTGTGTAAGTTGGTATCTGAAGTAGCCAAATGCTCAAAGAATCCCTAGGCCAGCACTAAAATCCATCTCTATTCTCCACAGGAAAAGTCTGAAAACACATACCCAGGGGTCTATAACCCCAGAGGGGATTACCTTTGGAAACATCGGTCACACCGGGACATAAGGTTTCGTGCATGGCGTCGTGCAGCGTTTCCAAGACCTGCTCACTCAGCTCCGACAGCTCCTGGACGTTGCCCACTCGGAAGGCCGTGGCACTGTTGGAAGCTATCTTTCCCACCTCCTCCGAGTCAATGTTCCTCACACCCACTGCAAACACCTTGACCCCTTTCTGGGTGAGCGCCAGGCTCACGTCCTGAGCGTCCTCCACCGACTTCCCTCCGGTGATCACGAAGGCGATCTGAGGGACTCTCTGGTCCAGGCGGCTGCCGGCCTCTGGCACAAAGTGATTGAGCCGCAGGTGTTCGATGCCCACCCTGGTGTTGGCATGTCTCCCCCCTTTGTAGACCACTTTGTTGATGGCGTCGATAATCTGCCTCTTGGTGGAGAAATCTTTCAAGAAGAATTCATCCGTGGGGTCAGAATTGTACTGGACCAATCCTACTTGGATGGAGTCACCCTCTTCATAAACCGTGTCCACAATTTCAGCTACAAAACGGAGCACTTCCTGGAAGCTGTCCCTCCTGAAATTGATGGATCCATCCAACAAGAACACAATGTCTGCTTGCTTCTTCTCTACAAGAGATCACAATGAACGGGAGGACAAGTTGGGTCTCATGTCCATAACAGAAAAACACAAAATGCAAATCAAAATAACAGATACGAGACCTTGCTAATAATTGACTGATAGTTGAAACCCTTGTTCTAGTCAATCACCCAGCCCCAAAAGATTATGTCAAGAACACGAAGGTGAAAGGAAAGGAGACAAGATAACTCAGCGATGCCAAGTCTCAGTTGTCCCACACAACCTTGCATTATGCCAGGAATTCAGTGGATACCTGGGTTTGATGGTCTGCAAGCTAAAAAAAAAAAAAAAAATACCAATATAACCAAGGACCATTGGCTCATTCCTGTAATCCTAGCTACTCAGGAGGCTGAGATCTGAGGATCACAGTTCAAAGTCAGCCCAGGCAGGAAAATCCATGAGACTCTTATCTCCAAGGAGCCACCAGAAAACTGGAAGTGGTTCTGTGGATCAGCGTAGTAAAGTGCTCGCCTTGAGCTGAATTGCTCCTGGACAGCACCCAGGACCAGAGTTCAAGCCCCACAACAGATAAAAAAAAAATTTAACTATTTCTTCCTGATCAATAGCAAAATGTAGTATCTATAGGAGTGGGGGGGGGGGGGTGAATGTCTGAGGGACAGAGCAAGGAAGCTAAGAGAGGCCGACTGGAGAATGAGAGCTAAACCCTCTAGACATACAGAGTGCTGCGTCAGTGCTTCTTAGAAGCAGAAAATCCGCAGCATGTGAGGGCCAATTCTGGGTTTTGAAAACTAGAGGAAACTGAACAGAAAGGGGAAATTGGAGACAGTGTGAGAGATACGGCGTGTGCTAGAGGCAACCCAGGCAAAGCAGCCAACGATGGAGCAAAACAGGAATGCAGAACCTCTAAGAAAGCCAAGAGTGCTCACATGTTTCTCTGCACCCAGAAGAAAAGCAAGGAAACGCGCGTGGCGGAGGGGTCCAGCCCATGCATGGCCGCTCACAGGGGAGGGGAGCGTGGGCAAGAAACTTGTAGGTGCGTGGCCCTGGTGGTCAGATTAACTCAGGAAGGAGGTCAGCCTGGACTGGGCCTGGGGTCAGGGTGAATCCTGCCACTGGTAATGGACTGACATCAGAGCCGTGCTCAGCAGGCGACCGACTGGCTGCCTCCACTGACGCCATCTTATCCTGAGAGTCAAGGAACACAGTACCCTCGATCGCTGTATAGAGCCTTCCCGCTACAGGTAACCTCAGAAGGGATGGAGACCAAGGGCCATGGTCCTTTGGGGGATATACTTCCCTCTTCTGTTTCAACTGAACTAATCTTCCAGTATTTCACTTCAAATACCAGCTGTAGAAACAACCCTGAGAATAGTAAGAGTGTTTCTAAAAAGTTGTTTTTTTTTCATTCTAAAAATCTTGATCTTCCATTGTGTAGTTCTGGGTCACAGAGCTCATACTTGGCCTTTTATTATTACTGTTGTTGTTATTGTTATTATTATTATTATTACTATTATTTTAAAGATGTTTACCTGGTCTTGAAGGAGAGGGCGGGCCTACCCCTGGAGGCGCAGGCGTGGCTCCAGAGGGTCCTAACGAGCTCACCACCCTCTCTTCTATGTTGGGGAGCTCCCGGAACTCCCGCACCGTGAAGACCAGCCGGGGGTCGTTGGTGATGGTCTGCAGTTCTGTTCTGTCAGTGTTCCGGTCTCCGATTCCTAAACTCGCAATCCCTGAGGAGCTGATGATCTGGGAGAACCTGGAAACATCATCCTGGGATTTCCCACCCAGAAACAGGACCAGGTGTTGGGGAACCCCATCTTCTATCCGGCTCCCAGCCGACTTCACAAACAGGTTCCTTGCTACAAACTCCAGGGCTTTCCCGGTGTTCAGTGGAGAGCCCCCTTTGAACCGCAGGCGCCGTATGGCGTCGAGCACGGTGGCCTGGGATTTGTAGGTCTTCAGGTAAAATTCTGGGAAGACGTCGTTGCTGAACTGCACGACCCCGATCCTCACTTTATTGGGGCCAATGTTAAGTCTTCGGACAATCCTGCTGACGAAGTCTCGAATGTGAGCGATGCCGTCGGGTCTCACGCTGTCAGAGCTGTCGATGAGGAACACTATGTCAGCCACGCCACTCTCCACTGCTGCAGATATACAAAGGAGGAAGGCTCCGTAAGCTCGCTACTTCCCACTGTACTTTCTCAAGTTTGCCTTATGTTGTGCCATGGTTAATATGATGTCCCCGTGTGCCTGAGATTCTCATTCAGGCTTTTGGAAATTAGTCATTAAGTACCAGATGCTGAGCTGGGCACTGGGGACCCACGTCCGTCATCCTAACTACTCAGGAGGCTGAGATCTGAGGATCATGGTTCAAAGCCAGCCTGGAAAGAGAAGTCTGTGAGACTCTTGTCTCCAATTAACCAGCAAAAAGCCGGAAGTGGAGGCACGACTCATGTGGTAGCCCTCCAGCCTTGAACAAAAGAGCCAAGCAAGAGTAGGAGACCCAGAGTTCAAGCCCCAAAACCGGCACCAAAACAAAAGAAACAAAAACAAAACCAAGAGGACTGTTTATCACCAAAACGAATTCCTACGTCATGGGCTACTTTAAATTCTCTAAACCATTTTCTTTCTCAGCTAGCTTTAAGTTGAGCTTCATAGTCTGGGTTACTATTGCTACTTAAAAGGTCCGTAGCATTTAGACACGAATCCTGCTCTGCGAGCTGCAGTCATACACTGTAGTCACTGAAGGGCTCGTGATCGGTGAGGCCAGTGTCTTTGCTGTGAAGGGAGAGAGACAGCTGTAGTGTATCCTCACCCCTCCCACAGGAGTCTCACGGTCAGCCCTGAGGGTCCTGTGGGTCTCCCAGCCTTGCCACGCCCCATCTCCACTTGGCAATGCTATATGCCATGTATAACCCTGGCACACCCCAACTACTGGCTGCCTCAGGTTTCTCCTCAACCAAAAATCTCGGGCACTTAGTCCCAGATTTGGCTTTATAACTATTATCTCCCCTATTTCTACTCACGAGTTCCTCTTTTTTTTTTTTTAAACCATGGGTCAGGCATCTCTGATTCAAAATCCCAGAATCCAAAATCTTCCATAGTCCCAAAGCACAGAGGGCTCCCACAAGTGAAAATTCCATGTTTTTACTTCAATCACACGACATCACCTTCAGGCTGTGCGTACCAAGTATATGAGAAACACAACGGAATTCGTGTCCAGACTTGGGTTACAGCCTCGAGGTATCTCATCATGCACACATTAATATTCCAAAATCTCAGTAAATCCCAAATCCAAACCACTTCTGAACCAAACGTCTTGCATGAGGGATACTCAAGGTGTGTAAGTTCATCAAAATGACACATTAAATGGCAACCCCCTTTATACGACCAACCTTTTGAAGTTCTGAAAAAATGAAATCAAATTATCCAACAACGTTTATCAAAGTGTCTTTGGGAAGATGATCCACATTTTCCTATTACTTAGAATTCTAGATGTTTCTCAAATACCACTGAATAGCATTGCCGCTCAATACCATTCACCCATATGCAATGGAAAACAGCACAGTGGCCGTCAGGCTGGTCATCCAGCGGGCCATTCACTGATGAAAGGGAAAGCACCCTCTCACTGGGAGCAGGCCCGGAACACACAGCCTTGGGGTGCTCTGCTGAGCTCAAGCCATCCACAGACCATCAGCACTCACCAACCACTGTGTGTGACAGCAACCTGGCAGCAAGAGCTGGGACCAGAGCTGGGACCAGAGCTGAGCCACCCAGAGGAGGGCACTGGCCAAACCATCATGTCCCAAACCCCAAATAGGAGCCGTGGCTGCTCCACCGAGGCCTCCCTGCTTGGTGATGGCTGAGTGTGGCAGACTGCAGAATTAGCTCCACTTCCCACCCCCAGTCCAGGCCAGAGCCCTGCCTCCACCAGCCTTCCACGGGACAGCCAGACGCACACTCACACCCTGTCACTCACAGCCTCCTTTTTCCTGTGCCACAGTGACAGTGTCACTCTGCTCAGCCACAGGTGTGTCCTGGTGGTCTCTGGCTGGTGGCCACAGACTGGGTAAAAAGGAAGGGGCACTGCCTTCCTTGTAAATTCACTTACCCTGAGTGGTGTGACCCCTGAGCCCATTATTTTTATACCAAGTTAGGGAGCAGAGCCACCTCCCCCCTCCCCCCCACCCACGGGCCTCACCTGGGGGAGGGAAGCGAGTTCTGGACAGGATCTGCTGGATCTGCTCGGCCGTCAGGGTGGTGATGGGTGTCAGCAGTTTCTGCTCCAGGGTGGGCAGCTCCCGGAAGGTGCTGACCGAGAACACGTACTCGGGGCTCAGGGAGATCTTCACCAGCTCCTCCTGGTCGGAGTGCCTGGCTATGGTGAAAGGGGCCACCCCGAACTGCTTGAGCTCCACAGCCGCGTCGTCCACTTCATCGTCAGACTTCCTGGAGGAGATGAGCACCAGGAACTGCGGGACGCCCTCCTCGATCCGGCTGCCCAGGGGCCTCTTGAAGATGTTCTTCAGCACATACTCCAGGGCACCGCCGATGTTCGCCTGCTGCCCGCCCTTGGGCCTCAGCCTGCGCACGGCGCTCTGCACTTCGTCCTTGCTGGAGTGCGCGTTCAGCGGAAACTCCACCTTGGGATCCTCGCTGAACTGGATCACTGCCACGCGGGTGGTGTCAAAGCCCACGTCCAGGTAGTTGACCATCCTCTCAATCAGCGTGCGGATGTACTGGAACTCGGGGCTGGCGTTTTGAGACCCATCAATGAGGAAGACCACGTCTTTCTTGCTACCAACATCTGTGAAGCAAACAGGATCATGGCCTTCAACCTCATTGGCACAAAACTGCACGTGCTATGGACTACCTTCTAACTGGTCCTGGAAACACCACTGGACAGATCACAGGACCTCCAGCAACTGCTGGTATGGTGAAGGTATCAGTGGAAGGAGTGAGTCCTGCACACCTCAACATCTACAGGTGGGAGGAAGAGGAGGGCTCAGCAAAGGATCGAGGAAGAGTGGCTGGAAGGGAGGCAGAAACTAGAGCTGCATCCCCAACCTCTGAGGGGGACACAAGGAAGGAGAGACAACCACTGATACAGATGCTGCCTATCGATCAAGGTAGACCAGGAAGATGGCACCTAAGGGTCAGCCACTGGGCAGGAGCACATTCTGAGCAAGGACAAGGATGGGGCAGATTAGGCTGGGTTCAGAGCAGATGTGAAGTAGACAAAGTTACCCTCCCAGTGAAGGGACTTCACAGCATCCAGCTTCCAGAATGGGGCCCCCGTGCACCCGACAGAAAGTGGCCCAGTGGGGCTGTTGCTGGAACATGGGTTGGGGGACAGACAGGGCAAGGCTGTCAGAATCCATAGCGGGAAGCCCACAGGCATTTTCTTTAGTAACAATGCAGAAGGGGTAGCAAGAGGATGTCATGATTTCTGCACAACTAGAAAGGACTTGCCCACCTGGTCAGAAGTGGATGCCAGCCTGCCTGACTTTTGTATGCCTGATTAATGCCTGTTTTGTGTGTAACCAGTTTATATAAAACTCAGGATTTTCCTTCCCTTGGGATTGGAATTTCTTTCTGGCACTATCCTGGTTTGGGTTGCCAGTAATAAACTCCCTTATCCTCTCTAAAATGTGGTCTCAACCTTCGCTGGTCTGCATTGTAACAGACAAGATGGAAGGCGTTGTGCAGCACAGCTGTATCCTTAGAATGACACACAGTGACCAGGTCCTGAGTTCAAGCCCCAGGACCAGCACAAAAAATCAGAACCCAGGCCCTGGGCAGGCCTCTACTGAGTGTGGATAGATCTTCATCTCTCTTCCTTCAGGTCACTGGGACCCTCCGTGGGTCCCAGACCTGGGAAGGGGAATCAAATCAACTTTGCTCATGAAAGCCAGCTGCTCTTCCTGCCAGCGGAGACACTTCTCAGCCTCAAGCAAACTCAAAAGTGATCTTCCCACTTTCCAGAGCCTCCTCCCTAGCCGAGCTCTCTCCTGATGGTGGAAGGCTCCGCGAGGCTTCCAGCGGACCAGGCGCAGATGCAGCCAGGCCCGCCCTCCTCTCCGCGTCCTACCCAGAGTCTTTGAGGAATTTGAGTCTAGGACAAGTCTATGCCCTCCCGGAGGCTTTAATTTGGCCAAAACGATGAATCCTAGCAACCTCTAAGAAAGGACGTGTGCTTCCTCATTTTTCCTGTAACCCTAGCTCTGGTGCTAGGCTTCTCTGGCAGAGAAGGCAAGGCTGAACACACTTTGAAAGCCACGGTTCAAAGTGAGTAGCCCGTTATAAGGAAGAAGGACCCCATGAGTCCCACACTCTCTCACCTGGGCCGGACGGGGGCAGGAAAACAGGCTGCAACTGCTTCAGCTCCTCACGGCTGAGCTGGGTCACCCGCTCGGAGATGACCTGCTGGACCGTGCCCAGCTCCCGGAAGGTAGGGATGGCCACCGCGAAGTCCGGGATGTAGGAGATCATCTGCATCTCGGCGATGTCGGCATTCCCGATGCCGATGCCGATAGGCACCGCACCGCCCTTCTTCAGGACCACCGAGGGGCCCCTCACGTCGTCCCCAGACCGCTCGGCCGTGAGCACGATCAGGAGCTGGGGGACACCCTCCGCCATCCTGCTTCCAGTTGAGCTGGTCAGAATGTGCCTCAGGACGAAGTCCAGGGCCGCCCCTGTGTTGGGGGTCGGCCCACCCAGCAGGGTCAGCCTGCGAATGGCGTTGATGACGCCCTGTTGGTCCATGTGGGAATTCAAGTAGAACTCGGGCCTCGTCCGGTCGCTGTACTGCACCACGGCCACGCGCACACGGTCAGGACCCACATCCAGGCTCTCTACCACCCTCTGCATGAAGTCCTTCAGCAGGGAAAACCCACTCCTGACGCCCTCAGAGCCGTCGATCAGAAACACCACATCCTTCTCGCCTGAAACTGGAGGAGGACACGTCATGAGTCTCTGAGAGGGGCATTTTCACGCTGCTGCGGCCCCTGCACAGGCCCACCTCCCCGTCTTTGTGAACCAGACTTTTTCAGTGAATTCACAAAAGGATTTGGGGGATAGTCCTCCAATATCCAGGCACATCCAACATGGCTACATTAATTTCAGATGCCTTGACAAGAAGAGTCAAGAAGGTCAGAGCCAGAGAGAGACGTGGGAGTAGAGGTCAGAGAGAAAGGCAGGCACTGCACTGCCCGCTTCAAGGATGGAAGATGCAGCCAGGAGGCAGGAGGGGCAGGCAGCCTCTGGACACTGGGGAAGCTGAAGTCTCCTAGGGCTTCCATCCAGAAAGCATGCGGACCTGATGGCAGCTTCACTTGAAGCCGGCAAGACTTGTTCCAACTCCTGAACTCCCAAACTGTGAAGAGCAAATTCATTCTGTGCCTGGCAATGTGCTACGGCAGAAATGGGAACCAAATGCTCCCATCCACAAGGCCTAGTCACTTCAGAACCACACAACTGTTGCCTCCCAAAGGTGAGCTCAGGGAATCGTGCAGGACCAGGAGGAACATGGGATGGCCGGGCCAGAGGGTTCAGAGGTCAGAGTGCCAACATGCAACCAGCTGCAAGCAGGATGCAGCAATCGGTGGAGAAGCTCTAGAATCTCAGCTCTTCACCAAAAGTAGATGTGAAATTAACCACTCTTTTTGCTGAACCTTTATCACCAAATAAAAAGCGCTGTAACACATAGTGTTACATGGTCTAAATGAGCATCTAGAAGTTTTAGTGCAGCCTTTATAGTGGGGATTATTTTTTACCTCCTCCTGTGCCTTTAGCTTTCCGTGAGTGTGGTAAAGGAATCGCAGCACTGATTTCCCTTAAAACAAAGCTATGGAGAACTGGAGGCTGAAACTAACTTTAGCTATCAATATAGCCATGCTATGTGGCCTTTTATGCACATAGTAAAACACATTCTTGGTCTTTATTTTATTAAAAAACAAGCAACCAGAAGAAGCGAGATAAATGAGGTAAAGTGATTTGCCCAACCCGAGTACAACCAAGGGGCAGTGGCGGCCTGGATTCGGGGCCCTTAGCAGCCATCCTTCCAATAATCTCTACTTTTGTTAGAAACTGGAAGCTGGCATGTCACTTGCTAAGGGGTCAGGACCATGGCAGAGGCTGCCTTCTAGTTGCCCTTGTTCAAGCAGGATCTGTGGGTCCTGCTGCTAGCCTGACTCTACCTCCTATTCCCTCTTCTAGGCCCATCCCTGCCCTGTACCTAATCACACATGCCTCGGTCCAATGCCAGGGCTTTGTTACAAAGGGACTCGGTTACTAGCAAGGATGCTATCCACTCTCTCTTCTCTGCCCTCTTCCCTCCTAATGGCCCTCTAGGGGAGGTCAGTAGGTCACTATGCTAGAGGAATCTGAGGAAAGAAAGGGGATCGTGTTCTCTCCAAAGCCTTTTGAAATGACTACCAAATCTTTCTGGCTGCAGCTGAGAATCTTCTGGGCGAAGAGGTGAGAACATTCGCTCCCCTCTTTAAGATCCTCCAAAAAAAATACTTTTTTTGGTGCAGGTCCTGGGGCTTGAACTCAGGGCCTGGGCACTATCCTTGTATTTTCTTTGCTCCAGGCTAGCTCACAGCCACAGTTCTACTGGCTTTTTCAGTGCATAATCTGAGGTAAGAGTCTCCTGGACTTTCCTGTCCGGGCTGGCTTTGAACTGTAATCCTCACATCTCAGCCTCCCGAGTATCCAGGATTACAGGCAGGAGACACCAGTGCCTGGCTAACATGTGTTTAAAGAGGGGATTTGCTAGCTAGTGTTGTTTTCATAATCTATCTTATTATGAAATCTTCCAACACCCTTGAAAATAATCACCAAGATTCTTGCGTTTTACCTAAGAGAATAGCTAGAAAGTCAAATTGAGGAGGGAAAACTCATTCTCTTGTTCCCATAGAAACCACCTGTCACCTTTCCCTCTCCCCTCACCCTGGGGTAGCCCCAGGCGGTCCTCTGTCTGAGGGCCCAGGGCCCGCAGCCTGCACCAAGCAGGTAGAGAGAAGGTGGCTGCACCGCAGTCCCCATACCTGGAGCTGGGGCTCCGTTGTTCACTGACTTCAAGAGGCTGACGATCTGCGACTGGAGGTCACCGATCTTGGGGAGCGACTCCGCTGTGAGGATGAAGGCGGGGGACGGCACGATCTGCTCCAGCTCCGCAGGGTCCGCGTTCTTGGCTTGGAAAATGAAGGGCACCACCCCGCTCTGCCGCAGGCTGCTCGCCGGCCCGTCCACGGCATCGGCCGACCTCCCGGCCACCAGGAGCACCAGGAACTGAAGCACGCCGTCCTCCACACGGCTGCCCGCGGACTTCACGAAGATGTGCCTCTGCGCGTAGTCCAGGGCGTAGCCCAGGTTGAGGGTCCTGCCCGTCTTCACCTTCATCTTCTTCACGAGATTCAGGATCTCTGCCTTGTTCAGGTGCTGGTTGAAGCGAGATTCCACCCGGACGTCGTCGCTGAACTGCGCCACGGCCACCCGGGTCCCATCCGGCTTCACGTCCAGCTCGTCGATGACCTTGTAGAGAAAGTCCCGGAGGGCGGGGAACTGGCCCATGACGTTGGCTGAGCCGTCAAAGAGGAACAGGATGTCTCGCTTGCTCTCTACGAGGAAAGTGGATGGGACACAGTAAGGGAGGGGATCCTGGCCGACCGGCCACATGGACGCAGCCCAGCACCACCAGCATTTGACCGAGTTCATCCGAGGATCACTGTACCAGCAGGAGACGAGACGGCCCAGCCCTCCTGCCTAGCGTGTCCTCGTCAAAGCAAACCTAGGCTGTGGGAGCTGCTCTAAATCAACAAAGCCAGCCACACCCCATTTCTCACCAGGCAGAGTCTCCCTGGGAGATCAGACAACACGGTCACGTGGCCGTAAGACGCTATCGAAAATATATCGGTCCTATTGGACCGTGGCTAACAAATACTGTCTGGATCTGTCGTGACAGAGGCTGACACAGAGGAACCACCCAGGCAGCGCTGGCTTGTCACCCAATCAGCTCTGCGTCCCATGGAGGTCATAGGTGTCGACCCACGGCCGTGCCCATCACTGCTGGGAGGCCGGGGCACTGCTATCGCTTGGGGATCTGCTGTCACTGGGCCACTGAGAACAGAGTGACAGCCCGAGGGGAACGCATCATGCCATGCAAATGCCACGTCAGGGGGCAAATGGCAAATGTCACATCAATGGCATTTCCAGCTGGCCGTGCTCCCATCAGGCTTCCTGTGGGCTCAGCCGTGGGTGAAGCAGCCCACTGAAGGGCCAGACCCCGGTCCCAGGCCTCCATAAGGTGCCACAGTAAAGGACAATGATGACCCTCTTCCTTTGGAACCCATCATTACTATTCTGAAGAGGGACAGGCAGCTTTTACATACAGCAGAGTCTAGATGCAAAAGCTGCCTCGTGAAGAAAAAAAAATGCCAATTGTTCATGATCCCTGGGCATGCCTGTGTATGGGGGAAAAATGGTCTCTCCTTTTGCTCCTCCCTGCTCCCCTCCCCCAGGTCTCCTGACCCTCCCTTCTTTTCTCCCTCCTCCATCTCTCCCCCCATTTCCTTCTCCCTCCATCCCTGCTTTCCTCCTTCCCCCACCCCCGTTTCTCTTTCTCCCCACCCCACTCTCACCCCCCACCCCTTCTTTTCTCCCCCTGGATTTTCACTCCATACAATGTTGATGGGCGTGGAGGAGGGGCTGTGAATTCAGGGCAGCGCGGACCCTGCCTCCGCTATGGGCTCCGCACTGCCACGCACAAATGCCCTTTGGAGTCTAAGCTTGCCAAGGACGGCATCTTGAGCCCCTGTGGGGAACATTTTGATCAGAGGGATCAGCTGTCTCTCCACGGCTCGCAGGCTCTGGGTTTTTCCTTGTGGCCTTAGCACCGGGGAGGCAGGCCCCGAGCTGGTGGGGTAGGTTTACCTGGCTGGGTGAGTGGAACTTCCTCCACCCCTCCACTAACATACGTGGTTAGGGGCTGAATCAGCTGCTGAGGCAGAGCCGGCAGGGAGCTGAAATCGTCCATGAGGTACACCAGGCTTGGGTTAAAAGCCATCTGCTCAAGCTCTGCCCTGTCGGCCCGGCTGGCCCCCACACAGAAGGTCAGCACGCCCGCACGGGCCAGGGCATTGGCAGCTTGCAAATAGGAGTCCTCAGACCGCCCGGCCGTGAGCAGGAGCAGCAGCTGCGGCACGTGTTCCCGGATCCTGCTGCCGCCGGCCTCGGTGAAGTGGTTGGCCTGGACGTAGCTCAGGGCCGCCCCCGTGTTCAGGCCCGAGCCCCCCCTGAGCTGAAAGCGTCTCAAGTGAGCCAGCAGCTCTGGCTTGCTCTGGTACGTGTCCAGAGAGAACTCCGTGACCGGAGTGTCACTAAATTGCACTAGACCCACACGGATATTGTCACTTCCAACATCAAGGCTGTTAACTAGGTTCATTACAAAGTCGCGCACGTAGGGGAAATTGGTCTTGCCAACGTTGACCGATCCATCCAAAAGGAAGATGATATCCCTTTTGTTTACGTGAACTGCGGTGAAGCACAGAGAACAAGGTGAGACATTCACAGCGGAAAGGGCCCATGTGTGCCGCCCGCGGACACGCACGCCGGCACTCAGAGCGCAGCCACATTCACAGCGGAAAGGGCCCATGTGTGCCGCCCGCGGACGCGCACGCCGGCACTCAGAGCGCAGCCACATTCACAGCGGAAAGGGCCCATGTGTGCCGCCCGCGGACGCGCACGCCGGCACTCAGAGCGCAGCCACATTCACAGCGGAAAGGGCCCATGTGTGCCGCCCGCGGACGCGCACGCCGGCACTCAGAGCGCAGCCACATTCACAGCGGAAAGGGCCCATGTGTGCCGCCCGCGGACACGCATGCCGGCACTCAGAGCGCAGGCAGCCAGCCTGGCAGAGCACGCCGCCCGGTAAAATATGGCAGCGGCTGCATATTTTCCTCTTGTGGTGGCTGGTGTTGGTGAGGCATATCGAATTAACATCCACATGTGCACAACCGAGGTGGCTCACAGACAGATGGAGCAGAGTGAGGATGTGTGCGACACGCAGAGGTCAGCATCCCAGGAAGAGGACATCCCGCCCTGAAAATGGCTTCTACCAGGGTGCCAGGCCCCCGTTCCTCTCTAACACTTCCCACCACAGACCTCCTGGACGGGGCTACGCCCTCTGGAGCTCCCAGGCCTGTGCAGTTAGGGAGAACTTTCCATGCCAGCCAGGGAGCATTCTGCCCTCCTGACCTGGAAACCTGTGACCCTTAAGACTAAAAGCCAATCAGCAGAGGCTGTTCTTGGGCCTGAGACCCATGAGCCTCCCGCCTGTCCCTCCTGCCCTCTCATCCCCGACTCCTAGGGGTCGCAGCACCAGTTGATTAGCCAACCAGGGACCCAGGGCAGTTCCTCCAAGGGGAGGTGGCGGGCTGGTGGGCAAGAAACTATGCCCTGCACCTGCCGAGGATAAACACCTAGATACTACAAAGTGTAACTCTCAAAGTCTGACAGGCCCACCTATCTGAGGGTTCACATCTATGGCGTCCGCATGGCTTCCAACATTCTGAGTGATGCAGCCAGAGAGTGGGCACAGGTTGTATGCGAACCCCACATCGCTGTACACGAGGGACTAGAACACCCTTGGACTGGGATAACCACAGGGAGAGGCCCTCCCGATGGGCTGACCGTTAATCATCTGTTTAACTTAAGTCTTTAAAAAAATTCCCGTCGCTTTATTTTTCCCCTGGGGCCTTACTCTAAGGCAAATTAATTGTTCTCTATGTTTATCAAGCTGAACTTTGGTTATAAAAAGGGTGGGTTAGGGGTTTGGTAGAGAGAGAGGGAGGGAGGGAGTGCACATGCTTTTCGGATTTCAAAGGCCACAGCGTCTGGGCAGAGCAGGTGTCCGGGCAGCAGGGGTCATGCACTAAAAGGTCTGCAGCGGAAGGGTTGTGAGGTGAGAAGCCCGTGATATTCATCTTCTCTTCACTGGGGACAGAACTGCATTCATCTGAGAGGCTGAAACCTGAGGCCACTGCATCCCAGGGGGAGGGGAGGTCAGGCTTGGCTTCTTTGGAAGCCCTGTCTCCTCTGGCAGGGAGGAGGAAGAGGCAGTGGCCAGAGGTTGCTAGAAGACAGAATTCTGGGCCTCAACCAGGAATAAGAACAGAGGCACAACTCCCTCAGCCAGAGGGGCACAGACATGAGGCCTCGGGGCCCCAGAGCTTACGTCATACGAGTTTACTGCATGATGTTTGAGCTGTAATTCTCAACCCAGGGGAAAGGAAACATGAAATAAATTCTGTGTGTTGCTGTGGCTTTCAGCAGCAGCAGCTCCACACTGCTTCTTCTCGAAGGTTCTACCTGCCAGCCACCCTCCTACAGCCCGAGCTACAGCCACCATACCTTCAGAGGTTCCAGAAAGGGTCCTGAGAGGTGCCAGCAGGCTGGGCAGCATGCTTTGCAAAGGGGCAGCGCGGAACTCAGCGGGGACGAACACCAGGGAGGAGTCGAAAGCGATCTCTTCCAGCTCGGCCTGATCGGCCGCCTTGCTCCCAATGGCAAAGGCCATGATGCTGTTCCTCTTCAGCTCCTGGGCAGGCTGGCTGATCTCATCTAGGGACTTGCCACCTGTGATGAGCACCAGGAGCTTGGGGACCGCTTCCGCAGCCCGGTAGCCAGCCGAGCTAGTGAATAGCTTGTCACGAACGAAGTCCAGAGCGGACCCCGTGTACAGGGCCGAGCCTTCCAGAGGCTTCATCCGCCGCACAGCTGATATCATCTCTCTTTTGCCAGGATAGCTATTGAAATAAAACTCGGGCTTGACAGTGTCTGCGTACTGCGCCACTGCCACTTGGATAAGGTCCTGTCCGATCTCCAGCCTCTGGATGACTCTGGCAATGAAGTCTCGGATGGCATTGAAGTTGGCCAGCCCCAAGTTGGATGAGCCATCCATCAGGAAGACTATGTCCCTCTTGTTGACTTCAATGACTGTAGGTAGCAATATTAACAGGTGAGTAGAAAGGCCTTAACAATCACTTTCAGTGGGGACGCTACAAAGCCACCGTCTCGGGCAAGGATGCTGTCATCCACGCTAGTGAGTGGGAAGCATGGATTGCCCAGGGGGAACGTGTCATGACACACTAACTGACATTTGCGTCCTTCCCTACACGGTGCCAGGCTGGCCCCCCTCCCGCCCCGCCTGCTGTCCATACATTTAGCCAAATCGTGGTGCAGAAACAACGTCAGCAGCCACCTGTTTACCTGCTGTCACTAAAAAGGTAGTTACTTCATTTCTACCATGGACATGTAACTTGGCCAGAAAGGACCCATCGCTGGAGAAATAAAACACGCCGCCATGTTTGATCAGTTCAGAGGCTGGCAGCCTTGAGTCGGAGACCCAATTCCAATATCACACATGGCCAAGTGCAAACATCAAAAGAGAATAAACACCTCCTGTATCTCTTCAGCTTGATACTCCGTGGCTCCCTTCTCCAGATTAAAAAAAATAAAAGTAACATTATAAAACGTAGGAGAGCAACATCAAAGACAGCAAGCGCCACCAAAGCTTTTCACTTAAGAGATCTGGAGGGGAGGGCGGTCAGTGACATCTTAATACTGTCACGACTTCAAGGCAACCACAAAGCAAGATGCCTCCGGCGGCCCCTGCTTCCGATGCCTGTGACCTCCGTCCAGCCAGCCCTGACATGGGTACAACTTGCCCGAGGCGTGGACAAGTCTCTTAGACACCTGCACCCATCCAGAACTGGACCAGACTCTGAGATCTAAAGAATGTAGCAGGCAGGACCTGAGAGGGGGTGTTCGCCCAACAGCCCCCTTCGGACCCCTCCTCCCGGCACCAGGCAGCTGGCTGGCAGGCCGATTTAGTAATGCCTGGCAGAGGAAGGAAGGTTGGTGATAAAGGCAAAAAATACCTTCCTAAGAATCAGTGCTGCCTTTTGTGCTGTTTGTTTTTTGGGCTTTGGTATTTGGGGTTTTATTTGTCGCTGATGGGGCTTGAACTCTAGGCCTGAGTGCTATCCCTCAGCTCTTCAGCGAGTGCTCTACCACATGAACCACAGTACCACTTTCAGATTTCTAGTGGTTAATTGGACTTTCCTACCAGGGCTGGCTTTGAACTGCGATCCTCAGATCTGAGCCTCCTGAGGAGCTAGGATTACAGGCATGAGCCACCGGCGCCCGGCTGCGATATGTTTTTTAAGGGAGTTCATTCCTGATTGTGAGGGGCTGGGAGCATGTGTCAGTGCAGGAACAAGAGCCCCAAGAGTGGTTTTGATGACTCCTGCACCCCCTCCCTACACTCTCAGCACAAGAGGAGGTCTGCATTCTAACAGGAGGATGACATTTGTGCACTACTATCTTAAGGGTGCCAGTTATCTATGGCTGCAGCAGTAAACACAAGACATCCCTCTACCAGTTCCTGGTTATAAACATCTCTTCAGGACTTTTTCCTTCCTTAAGTTTAGATCTTGCTGTCTCGCTGGGCAGGGTTTAGAATATCCTTGCAAATAATTGAATGTGTACCTGTCTAGTAGACTTTTTTATTCCTTTATACCATTAAGGATAATGAATGTGCACATGTATGGTAGACCCATGTTCCTAAGTGTCACACATACCCTCTCCCAAATCTTAACACCCTTTGTAGCTGAGCCCCTGTACACGCTCCTCATGCCCATGTCCACATCTGGGGAGTTGGCCCTGGATTCTGGATCCATAGCTAGAAGGAGAAGGCTTGTGTCTAACTCCCTGGGAACTCATCACACACTGGATGCCTGGCATTATGCTGGGCCAAACCAAAGAAGCACTGGGAACTCCTGAATGGCTCTAGAAGGACTGGGTTCCGGTGTCTGCTCCTGACTCCAACACCTGACTGACTCCCAGCTTCACCTGGGGTTCCCATCGCGGCCTCCACAGGAGCCACATCTGCGGGGCATCCGACCTTCCTTTGGCCTGATCGGTTCCGTGTCCGGGGTGCGTTCAGACTTGCTCTCACTGCTCTGAAATGCCAGTCCACACAGGGCAGGGCCTGCTCTCCCGCCACGCGGTCCTGCTGGGCCTGGGTCTGCTACCTGGTTGGAGGCAGGCTGGGAGGTGCTGGTGGTCACCCGGAAACGCAGCAGGACCTCCTCAGCCTTCAGCAGAGCCCCAGAATGCTCCTCCCGGGAGCTCTCAGAAACCCAAGAGTCGGGTGAGGGCCCTCACCCCCCCCCCCCCCCGTGACTGTCTCAGAGCCCTCCAAAGCCTCCCGACTGCTGCCCTGCCTGGGAGCTGTCTTTATGTCCATTTGAGTCCACTAACCGCAGCACATTTGGGACACAGTGGCTCGAACAGCCAGCACTTCCAATAAAGTGTCGCTTGCCATCTGCTCTGCGCCCGCTTCCAGAGCCATAGCTGCCCTAGCGCCGCAGCGCCTGCCCTCTCTGGAGCCTCACCCACTCCACCTGGCCACTTCCCTGCTGTCCTCCACGGAGCCACGTTCTGTGCCCCATCCTCCCCCAGCCTCACCCCTCCCCGGGGCCTGTCCTCATACCGCCTGACTCCCCTCGTCTCTAGACCCCCATCCAAGCTCCATGCTGATCCTCTCTCCTCTGTACTGTGTCTCCCTGCGGCAGCTAGGGGTAGGGGGAGCCGCAGGAGGAAGGCCCCACCCCCACCAGGCCCCGGGGCCTCGCACTGGGAGCCAGGAGCGCACACAGCGGACAGCACCAGTCTGCACGCTCCCAGGAGGGTCACCCCAGGATGGGTGACCACCTCATGGCCCGGCGCCCTTCCTCTCCTCCTCCACCACCGCTGCCCTGCGAGGGCTCTCCACAGATGACTGAGAAGGAAGCCATTGGGGGACAGCACCTCCGCTCCCACCACCCAACTCCACGCCCGCCTCAGCCCTCCTTCCCCTCCCTGTGTCTGCTCCAGCCCCGCGGCCCTCCTCCCCCACACCACCGTTACTCCACGCGCCCGATCTGCCCTGCAGCTCCCTGCGACCCTGGCTGAACGCTCCTGGTCCTCGCATCCTCCACCGCTTCCCTCCGGCCCCTCTGCCCACCCTGCATCTCCCCAGGCCTGCCCCCCTCGCCCAGAAGCACAGAGACGTTCCCTGGGCATCCATCCCCGGGACCTTCTCCCTTTTCTAGCCTCTTGAGACCTTCTCTCCAAACCCAGCTGGACACAGTCCCTGAGCTCCTCGTGCTCACCTCCGGCGTAGCACACCCACGCTAGCTGCCTCCCGGCTTCCGTCTATCAGAGAAGCTGGGCCAGGCACCTCCGCTCCCACACTCCAGCTGTGCTATCTTCAGGCGGCACAGCCACCGGGCTGCCCCGTTCTTCCCCCTGCTTCCCTGCGCCTCTCCCAGGACCTCTAGCTCCCCTTCCCACAGTCTTTCTACCCCAGGCATGCGTAACGCCCTCACGTAATCTGTCACACCCAGGGACTGTTTCCTTTGTTCGGTCGTGGGGCTTGAACTCGGCCTAGGCACTGTCCCTGAGCTCCTCAGTTCAAAGCTAGCACTCTACTACTTGAGCCACAGTGCCATTTCTGGTTTTCTGGTGGTTCATTGGAGGTAAGAGTCTCACAGATTTTCTGCCCGGGCTGCCTTTGAACCGTGATCCGCAGATCTCAGCCTCCTGAGTAGCTGGGATGACAGGCGTGAGCCACCCAGAGCTCATTGACGTGTTTATCATTTCCTCCTCCTTCTAATGTAACAGGCCAGCCATCTCCCTGTCTCCGTAAACAGCTGTGTCCTCGGTACTTGGTATAGCATCTGGCATGAGCCAGACAGACAGGAACAGTTGTTGAGTGCTTACAAGTTAATTGCTAGGATTAAGCATGATTTTTGTAAAGAGGGAGTTAAAACTCTGGTTATCTAGGGGAATCTGAAAGCAGGTCAGAGAAATCACCTGTTTTAATCAAGAAGCTGAATCTTCTCCTGAAACAAAAATAATTTCATCAAGTGCAAATTCTTTGCCATAAGCTCAAGAAATCAGAGGCCAGAGAATTTGTGTGACCTGCCCAGGATTACACAGCTGCTCAACAGAAGACGGTAAAAGAAGCCATCTCCCCATGACGGTGATGCTGAATCATCTGTGCTTACAAGCCTAGAGAGATCATTGGTTTCTGACAATATGTGACCCCAGAGGACCTTGGGAAACTATTTCCATCTGATTGTTTCCTTAATTGCTTGGTCCCAACAAGGCAAGCAGCTGGCCTCTGTATACGATTTCCTCTGCCCTTCACTGCCGTGCCGATGCAATACACCCAACTTTGACTTTTCTCCCAGCTTCCCTGTGGGACTTTAGTGGGTCAGGTGTGTGTCCCCATCAAGCGAAGAAAGGCTAGAAGCCCAGGGGAGTTAAACTCAACCTCGGTAGACTGACCTTTGTGAACTCAACGTGACCAAGAGACTTCTCCAGAAAGTAATTCTCACATACACTGTCCTAATTCTCACATACATGGTTCTGGTATCCAATATGAGCAGAGATGATGTGGTCCTTCACTATCTACCTGCTGCAACTTGACTGTCATCACAAAAAAAGCCCTCTTTGAAAATCATTTAGAGGAAGTTTGTGCTAATTCTGCTTCAATTCTCCACAACACTTAGTAAGGCAATGAGTCCCTTTACATGCATGCAGTAACTATACTGCCAAACAAAGGACTATTTGGTAGAGGCCAGTTCCATTTGTGATCCAATAAGGTTTTTAATGAACGCTTTAAAATCTTCCACTCTCAGTTTTATGTAATGGCATGTCCACTGCAAAATGCTTCTTTTTAAATTACTACCAATCCTTTTTCAAGGGGGGCCAGCCTGGAATCCCTGGGATAGGATGAGCCATGAATACTATCGTTACCACAGCCACTAGTACCACACCACTAGTACCACAGCCATTGTATAGACACAGGCCCTTTACTTGCAAAGGTAGAAAATGAGTGTTACTCCATACCAGAAAATTCAAACCACTGGTTGCACCAACTACCGGTCTTCCATAAATCTCATTCATTTGCCAGTTTTCACTGGGCAGAAACTCTGCTGGGACACTGGAAAGATAATGAGGATCGAGGTCTTTGAGGACTGAGGGGGGCCCGGATGGTGCCCACCACGGTGGCCCTCCTGGACTGACTGGCATGTAGTTGGTCTAACCAAGGTCAGAACACTGATACATTCTGAAGAGGGCCCAACATCTCAGCTCGTCAGATGAGCTGTGAACTATGATGTCCACACATCTCCCATGTGTGTCAAATGGCCATTATCACTATGACTTGATTGGCTGTATGTTTCTTAATGACTCTAGTTGACTGCACGGTGAACGCACTTCCCTTGGGATGCATACTGCCATCTTACCACTCAGAAGAATTACTTCTGAACATGATAAGCAGAGGAATGGAATATTTTGTAAACATGTAACCCAATGAGTGCGCCGCTGTCCCTTGCCTTCAGAAGAGTCTCTCTCCCATTGTCACAGCTACAGAGGACGCATTGTAACCTTCTTCCGTCTTGGGGGAGACACTCTCTATGAACACACCAGCAATACCGTCATCCTGGCCTAGCTTATTTGGAATGGCAATGAGCCCCTGAAGACCACTTTTTGAAGGGCTGGATTACAACTACACAGCACAATCACTCCAAACAAGACATCTGCTGTGTTACCCTGGAAGGCACACTTTCCCTGTGCCTCATGACCTAGCAGAGCTCTCCACTCACTCATTGATCTTTAGCTCTTCCAAGCACCTTGTCGATCACATCCATCCCGTCCAGAAGCCAGCTCGTCCCGGAAGGACTGGACTGTGGGTACTTACAGTTTCTCTCCGGTGCCCCCCTCACTTCTATGAAAAACACCATGCATGGCAACACCCCCCACCCACAGGGGTGGCGAGAAGGACATACGTACCTTGAGTGACAATCGTTGGCGGTTGCAAGACAATGTGCCTTTGGGCCACGCCAACAATGTAGGGCAGTAATTGCTCCTGGAGGTCCCCAAAGCTACGGAATTCCGGGACAGTAAACACCAGGTTGTCATCGGTAGCTATGTGTTGAAGCTCTGCCCTGGAGGCGGCCTGGGCTCCGAGGCAGAATGAGAACACGCTAGCCTGCTTCAGAGCTATCACGGCATCCCGAATCTCATCGCTAGACGGCCCGGCACTGATGAGCACCAGCACCTGCGGCACCCCTTCCTCCACGCGGCTGCCCCCTGCCGGCGTGAAGTGGTTCTCCACCACAAAGTCAAGGGCCAGGCCAATATTGGCCAGCTCCCCCCCAGCAAACTCCAAGGCCTTCACTGCTTCCAGAGCCTGAGCCTTGGAAGAGAAGCTGCCCAAGGAGAACATGGTCCTGGGCTCATCACTATACTGCACCACCCCCACTCGCATCTGCTGGGTTCCAAGGGGGAGCCTCTCAAGGAGATTTACAAGGAAGTTGCGAATGACAGCGAAATGGACACCTCCGGTGTTGTTTGATCCGTCAATAAGGAAAATAATGTCAGCAGAGTCTTGTGCTTTAAAAGAAAGAAACGCAAAACATGTGAAAGCGTTAGAACAAGTGACCACATGCATCGTTCGGTGTTCTGACATGTTTCTTTGGAAACAACAAGAAACACGAAGTAGGGACAAATGAAACACATGGGGATTAAGGAACGTGAAACTCTTGTTGAGTTCTGCATTCTGAATGGATAAGAGGCAACTTCTTACATCGCAGTGTGGACACGGATGTTTTACATCCAGATCCCATTGGCACCATCTTTATAGTTGAATTTCAAAACACATTCCCTTTTCCAAGGGAGAAATCTTGGGTACATAGTCTAGAAGGTTCTACTCAGTTTGGAGAGAAGTGTAGCTGCATGGGTTTATATATTACCAGCCACACTGCCAGAGAAAACAAACGAATAGATGAACAGAAATCTAATTTTGGGGTCATTTCTGCTGCCTCCTTGAGCAACAATGAGGATTCTGTATACAAGTCACAGCTTGGAGAACAGGGTGCCAGGTTCGGAGCTCAGCAACCCATATTCCCAGGCAAGGACTTCATTCCTCCTACAACCACTGTTTCATCAAATCGAAAAAAGGACTTGAGCACATGCAACTTTGTGGACTCAACCTACACGTCACGTTTTTATCTTTACAAAAATACTGCGATGGATTCTGGGTTTGATATTTTCTTCCTCACATGCCGTTGGGCTCTGTGAAACTCGAATGCAAGCCTGGAACCAGAAAAGATGTTTCATTCATTTCTTTTTGCCATTGCCTCTGTATCTAATCATGTAATGCAGAACGATGTTAAACAGAGTGATGTGAAACCAGCCATGACATAATTATCCAACCTTATTTTTATGACATTCTAAGTGGGTCATCTGGTAGACCTGAGAGAATGTGATCATCCCTGAGTACGAATGAGCTCTGGAGTCAGGCAAAGGATGTAAAACCGTCTGAGAGAGACCTCGTTCACATGCCTGCCGCATTCTGTTGCTGAGAATGGGGTTACGCAGGTGCGTTGGGAGAAAAAATTAGTAATTAGTAAGTCTACTGATCATTTCAAAGGCACAATTAGAATTGTTTAAATCCAGACTGATTTAAACTAGGAGAATTATGCTTTATGAATTTTTATGTAAGCATATATATTCATATTCTTAGGTTTAGAAAAATTATATTTGGGGCATAATGGTAATATTGTGAGACCATTCATTCTGTTCTTTTTAATGATGGTAAATGTTTTATATTTAAAATTAAATTTTGAGAATGATGAAACTGATCAATATTCATTGCATTCTTAATCTGCTTTGTTAAATGGCAACTCCTCTGTACAACTACTTAAAGATAATATAAAAGGGGAAAATTAGACAAATTAAATTTGACTTGTGCCAGAAAATTGTGTTTACTCTCACTGTAAAAAAGCATACAAATCCTGCCTCATAAGATGGGCAGTTTTTCTCTAAAGCAATGCAAACTTGTCTGTACACAAGCTCAGGCAGGAAGTACCAGCCTTTGGAAGATTCTTTTTCCCCTAAACACAGGGGAAATCCCTGATGATATCTCTGCAGATTAATTCTAGGCACAGGGTAAGAAAGTTGCTTAGGAAGATTTCTATCACAGTCCTTCTTGTTAGATGTAACAAGAAGGATAATTGTTTTGCTACAGGAATTTACTGATTTGGGTTGAGTTGTTTTTTGTTTGTTTGTTTTTTCATTTTCACACAGAGTAACCAATAAGCCTGTGCTCTTGCTTTGAACTCCAAAATATATGTCACTCTTCAGCCAAAATGTAAGATTCCAGAAGGTTCTAGGAAGCTGAAGGGCCATTGAGTTTGAGGTACAACAGCAGGTACTTCACCTCATATCATGAGGCAGAGTATGGGTAAATCATACCACAAAAAGCTCCTCAGCATTTCCAGCTCTGAGCCACTGACCCCCAAGGGACAAGAGTGACCCCCAAGGACAGGAAAGGGTCCCCCTCCTGCTTAACACACGGAGACATTTAAAACAAGAGCTTACATGATCCATAGCATCAATAAAAATGACGTGTGCATCGTTATGAGACACGATTCCTTCTGTTTATTACTCCCTTTCTTGTTAGTTGCGATCTATCGTATGCAAATAAGACAAGCCAACCCCAAGGGAAATCTGTGAGCACTTCCCCAAGAAGCTGAACATCTTTTGCAACTGTAGGTCATAAAAATGTTGGATAATTTGTCATCACTGCATTAAACAACAACAACAGCATGGTCTTCGTACACACACAATAATGGCACACATAGAGCATGCTTTGCTATCCAGGAGAGCCGAAGCCTGGCGTAGGCCCGGGGGCCCTGAGTTCTTATCTGCAGCAAGATATGCCAACGCCCAACACTAACTCCAAGATAAACTGTATCTCTCTCCAACTGTCACACTTTGAAGATGCCTGGTTAACTGCTTCTGTAGCTCACTCAGCAAATCCTCTGCAGCATCTACTATGGCAATGCTTCCAAGGGAAAAAAAATCATGTCTACTTAGGCTGTACCAGAAGCCCTGCTTCCCTGAGCATCTGGTGTGCACACAAGACCTTCCTCACTCATTGGATGTTCCCCTATGTTACAAAAGAAGAAAAAAAAAAGTCACATCCTCATCTCCTACGCAAAGCACAGCACTGTGTGTTTCCTTTTTTTCTCAAATCTTAATACTTTGTTGAAAAAACATTTATACTGAAATCCTTTCATAGAGGTCTTGAGTCTCCTAATGCCCTCTTAGAAAGGGCAGCAAGGGAGTGTGTAAAACACAACAGTCAAAGGCTAATTGAACAGGGTTCATTTAGAACAGTGGCAGTCCTTCACAGCGTATGCGTGAAATGTTCTCATCTGATGGTTGAGAACACGCGCTGGGGAAATATCCCTGGTAGAAATGAGGAGGGAGAGAAGAAAGGGTTCTGACAGCCAGGTCTGCCTAGGCCTCCTGAGAGCTTTCTGCCAAAGCTCTGGACAGCCATGAGCTGTTTTGCTGTTGTCCGTTCCGTTTTGCCTTATGTTATTTTTTCTGTGAGACATGCAGTAGGATCTGATACCAGAAGAATTGGAGAGTGCAGTTAATGAGGAAAGATGACACAGAAGATGAATATTCCACCTGGTGCTGTGAGCGGCTGAACATTAGAAGACAGAGATGCGTTCTTGGCATAAAAACAAAGGTTTTTATCATCTGTGTGGAAATAGGGTGTGTGGAAGACTCGCTTAGCATTCCCTGGGTTCACTTACAAAGCAGCTCCAGAAGGAAAAACTCCTCTAGTCCTGTTCATGAGTTCCCCAATGCATCCATTTGCTGAATGCTCCTTTCGCTACTGATTCCTTCACTTGTTATTTTTTACCCTCTTTCTTTGCTGTTAGCCTTGTAGTCTGAAAAAATGATGGTCTGGGAGGTATTGAGACTGAGACTACCATGGTCCATAGTGAAGACCATTCTAGATGTCCTCCTGTGGTTCCATGCTTTGTGGGGGTGACCCTGGGACCCCTGTGTTGTTTTCTAGCAGGACAGCACAATGCCAGAGGAGGGGCTGTCACATGGAAGAGGCCCCTCCATCACGCTGGCCCTTCCCGGTGTTCATGCTGTCCCTCCTCTTACCACGGAGCGGCTGTCTGCTGAGGAGGGCGGTGGCTCCCCCACTCCACCAAAGCTCAGATCCCGGGGGTCCCTCAGGGAAGCCTTGGCTTGGCCCCAAACCCCCGCTAAGCTTTGCCTGACTATAACAGCTGGTTCCCTTCTGCCTGAGCATGGGATCCGTCACCCCTCTCCCCCACCCCTGCTTGCTGAACGTCTGCTATAAACAACTGTCTAGTGCTGTGTGCAGTACAGCAGCCCGTTGTGATCACAGTCCAGAAAGCTCTGCCTTTCCTTGGGTCACCCCGCGCGACCCTTTCAGAGTTTAAGATTCATGCACCAGAGCCTCAGCGCACTCTTCTTCCCACTCGGCCCACCAGCTGGAGTCACAAGAGGCTGGCTTTCTGTCCAGCACCGTGCCTGCGGCCCGGTGTCCCCTCCACCCCCATCCCTGAACCCCTCTCGGTGGTCCCCACCTCCTAAGCCTGGCTCAGAATCTTCCTCCTTCTTATCGCTTCCTCTGTGCCACCCTGACCCGTCCACTCACGCTTCCCTCACTGAAGAGCTGGGCGCCAATTCATGGTGCCACGCACACTAAAGTGTTCCCCAGCCTCCCACGTGACTGCTGTGACTCCAAGCCCCATCTACACCCACGCTGAAGGAGCTGTGGTCATCCTGAGGGGATTGTTGTCCGTGGGCCCCAGCCTCTTGGCCTTTAAGCCCCAGCGGCAATCGGACCATTGTGTGCACATGCAGACACGTGGGAACCCCTCCAGTCCCCGTGGGACCCGCAGTCACGGCTCCACACAGACGGTGTGCTGCCTGGTGGCCCCCCTCCTCTCGGCCTCTTGTCTCTGGCTCTTGGAGCTCTGAGCCCCGCCCACCCCAGTCCCTGCTGGCTGCCCCGCCCAGTGAGGACGCCATACTAGGGTCCCCAGCTTCCACTCTGCACTTTCTTCTCCAGAAGGAATTCTTTCCTCTCTGTCATTCTGTGTGAGCTCCAAACCTGGAGTCCTTTGAGTCTGAGAGTACCGGAGATGCCTGAGGAGGGGTCCATGCCAAGGGAGAGAACCGCCGGCAGTCTCTGAAGACAACCGGCCGTCAAGGCCAGTCAGCTGTCCTTCCTGAGCCTTGAGTGGCCCTGTCACATCCCAGGCGCCAGGCCAAATGCCAAACGGCTCCAACCCCTCCGGCCTCACATGCCATCTGCTTTCCTGAGATGACCTACCTCCACTTAGTCCCTCTCAACTCTCCTCCCACCCTACAGAGTCTTAGGGACACAGTCCCCTTTCTCTTCCCTTCCCTCATCTTGGAACACAGGTCTGTTTCCCCTTCTTCTTCCTTAGCTCTCTCCCATTCAACCTGGACCCCCCACCTCTCCACTGTCAAATGAATGCCCAGCCTCGTGCTCTAACGCAGAAGTGAGCCTCCGCCTCCCTGGCTGATGAGGGCATGGCCCTGGGCACTCAGCAACACTGCTTTGGTCCAGCACAGTTCTGTCTTGGTTATCAAGTCCCTTCCTACCAGTCTGTTAGGCCCTGGGCACTGGAGGGAGCTTGGCTGGTTAAATACGTTGTCTGCCTACATTAATGTAGGGTCCGTGCTCCCGATAATTCTAGGGCAGCCCTGATAAGGGCTGGTGGGATTCAAAGAGTCTCTGGGGACGAAACCCAGACCAGAGCCGAAGCCCCAGGCATCTGGCTCATTCCTCCCCGGCCTGCGTCTCACCCTCTAGCCATTTGGGCTCCGTTTCTTCAAACAGACGTGGACTGAACCACAGCTAGGGCTCCAGCCACTCTTGATTTTCTCAGTTCTCTGAAACAGGTTCCATGGAGCAGAAGGGAAGCACTCTGCTTTTCACGAGACACACACGTGGCCGTGGCTTTCCCCTGGGCTCTCACACTCCCTGTCCTAGACTGTTCTGGAAGGGCGCAGGCCCTCTGCAGCAAGGGCAGGTGAGAGAGCTCCCCTTGCAAGTGAGGTGTGAATGCTAGTGCTTCTCTCATGATACTGTAAAAATGGTGCTCACTGAATTCAAAAATGCTCACTGGGCCCAGGTGAGGCCGGTATCTGAGGAGGAGAGTGATCGTCAAACCTTTGTTTTTAATTCTGAGAACATTCATCTCCTGCCTGAGCGCCCCGCTGCCAACTCTGAGGCCAGCCCTTGGCCAAGCTCATCTGGACAGAACAGCAGCAGGAGGCAGCCTGGCGAAGCAGCTGTTACCTGTGATGTCTTTAAGGGTTTCCGTGTCCCCAGCCCTTCCCGGCCTCACGGAAGAGCGCACACAGGACACTAAGCTTCCTACTATGTCCTGAAGTGAGGTCAGGTTCTCTAGGTTGAACACATGCATATTGACCGGCTCGCTCGCTATTTCTCTTAACGTTCCTTCATCTGCGTCCTCAACTCCAATTGCAAACACGTTAACGTCAGCAGACTGAAGCTGTGCTGAGGACAGAGCCAGGCCGTCCTCCGAGCGTCCGTCAGTTAACACAACGAGAACCTGAGGGATTCCGTCCCCGGCCCGGCTTCCAGCAGCCTCAGTGAGGTGGGTTTGAATTACGTATTCTACTCCTTTTCCAGTCTGATTGCTTCCCCCAGTGTAAGACAGGTTGGAAATATGGGACAGGACTTCTTGTGTGGAATCATACGTATTTAACAGGAACTCAGTGTGTGGGTTTCCGTTGAACTGGACCAGGGCAAAATGGAAATCAGTTTCTCCCACAGCTAAAGATTCTATAACATCATAGAGAAACTCTCGAACAAGTTGGAAACGTTCCTTTCCAATGCTCCCAGAGGAATCCACTAGAAATATTATATCGGCAGCGGCACCATTTTTGACATCTTTAAAAGAAGACATTGGTTTAGATTTTTCTACTGTGCAAATAGAATGACTTCCTATCAGTGCAAAAGCTTCCTAGGCAAGTTCCGTTGCCACTACTGTAACTACATCATTCACACCTCACTTGCAGTCTAGCGAGGAGGCAGACTTACCTGAAGAGCAGGCTCGGCACGTGGACTCAACAGCTCTGGTACCCAGACCCAGCCCGTGTTCCATGCTGAGTGACCACTCTCGGGGGCCAGCAGCATGCTCCAGAGCGGGAGAGCATCGCCTGGGTGCCTCAGAACTCAAGCGCATTCTCTAGGGCCGCTGGTCCCCTACACCTACCTGAGCAGACCATAGGAATCTTATCACAAGAAAACAGGTATTGTCTTATAGACTCATTCTCCACTTTGGGGGGTGGAAACTACTAGTGTTTTATGTGACTGGGCACCCAATGTTTTAGGTCATTTGTAAGAACATAAACGGGATGAATGGAGCTCCTTTAAGTGAGGAAGGCCCACGTCAATGTATAGAAAACTCTCCGTGATCTCGGATTTCTGAGCATGAACCATGGATCTGGAGCTAGTTGGTGCATATTGATCATGGCTGGCCGATAGATGTGGTAGCTACTGAACCGTATGGGACTCATCCGTGAACGAGTCCGGGCCTCTCTCCCCATGTTTCAGGCTTCAGTGCTACAGAAAGGGCCGCTCGGCGGCCGTGACAGGCTGGCACCTGGACTCGACTTACCTCAGACTGACAAGGACCCACCCAATGTTCCTCTTCCACTGGGGGCTGCTAATGTCCCCTCTAGAGCAACCTGGCTTGGGGCAGAGGTAGGAGCTGCACAGACCCAGCCATCCAGGGAGGATCAGTAGAGACTCAAGTCAGGGGTGGGGACTGCAGAGACCCAGCTGTCCAGGGAGGATCGGTGGAGACCCTAGTCAGGGGTGGGGGCTGCAGAGTCCCAGCTATCCAGGAAAAGCATGGTGGGGGGGACCCAGCATCGCCACCCCCAACCTGAAGTGCATGAAACTGTCCTGAAACTCTGAAAGCCAATTTTTAAGAGGCATATTGGAATCTATTTTTGAAATTAGATTAAGGAACCAGATTTTTTTTTCAAACATTCAATGATTCTGGATGAAACATGTCTTTCTGTGTCCAGAAAAGGTGATTTTTTATCCAGAGAAAAACATTTCTACTCCCAGGCATTGACTCCTGTCTATTTTATGTGTTCAGAGAGTAAAGGAGAGGTTCTCCAGATGGGAAACCTGCTTGTACGGAAACTTTCAGCTCACACCTATTGTAAAAACAAGTCCCTTTCAAGATACCTCCAAGATATCAAACTCAAGTCTCAGCTGGAAAAGGAGCACATGGAAAAACCTGTGGAGTTAGTGATTCACCTATACTAGGCAGCTGAGCTGTCCCTCAACATATCTGGGCTCTCTATAAGCTCATCATGTCTGAGATGTAGAAACCAACACTATTCGTCTATACAAAATTCAGGACACTTCCGGGCCTTACCTGCATGCTGCTGTTGGGCATAAGTCATGGAAAAGCCTGAGAAAAGGAGGCAAAAGATGGCCACTAAGGGCAAATGTCGATGTTTCCTCATTTTGAAATTGTCTGAGCACCAAGTTTGAACCTAAAAAAGAAAACAGAGTGGGAGGAAATAATCAGGCTTTCTTTTTGCTTTATTTACTCTTTTTTCCCCCCTTTTTGTCAGTTGTGGGGCCTGAACTGTGGGCCTGGACGCTGTCCCTCAGCTCTTCAGCTCAAGGCTAGTGCTCTACCACTTGAGGTATAGCGCCACTTCCAGCTTTTTCTGGTTATGTGGTACTAAGGAATCAAACCCAGGGCCTCATGCATGCGAGGCAAGCACTCTACCACTGAGCCATCTTCCCAGCCCTCTTTTTGTACCCTTATGCTGAAAAATTCCCCCAAATCCAATGGCTTCCATGCCTCTTTTAGACCTCCAAGGGAACCGTGTCTCTGATCATTTATTCTAAACCAGCTGCACACAGGCTGATGAAGTAAGTAGGGCAGTTGGCAGATGAATATGCAGGGAAAAGTAGATGTACAGTGTGTGCTGTGTGAGGATGCTCCTACAACACAAGCCTCACTTAAGCAATGCCACCCTCTTGGTCTGTAGGTATCATGCCTAATGATGTACTGCTCAGCACATAGCTCACTAGTGACACATGACTAGAAACGAGAGCATAGCCAAACACACACACAGAGCGAGAGAGATAATAGAAGGAAAGAAGGAAGAAAGGAAGGTAAAGAGGAAAAGAGGAAGAATGAGGAGAGAAGTGAGGGAGAGAGATCAAAGTAAATGAGGAGAACGCATCTCTATCTGAGGGGACCACAGACTCCTGAAGGTCACAGAAGACAGGTAGCCTTGTGCCCACTTCCTGTCAACAGTACAGGGTTTTGACCTTGCTAGATTCATGATCTGCCACTTGGGTGCTGCTCCCAGTCCTTTTGGCTTTCATGCCCAGGTTGCCCTAGATAACAGTCCTCCTACATCCTTGGATAACAAGCTCATACCACCAGGCCCAGCTTTCATTGGTTGAGATGAGGTCTTGCAAACCTTTAGCCTGGACTTCCCTTGACCTCCTCATCTTCCTGATCCCAACCTAGGTAGCTGAGATTGCAGGTATGAATCACCACACCAGACACAGTTACATTTTCCCATGGAAAATGTAGTAGTTTCACCATAGTTTGAAAGCATTTCTTTCTTTAACTCAAATAGCAATGAACCAAGACTATTTCTCTCATAAGAACTAGTTAGAATTAAACATATAAGTGAAAAAAACTAATCTAATGACTGTGTTTCTTTGACCACAGCAATCAACTCTTATGTTCCTCCCACACTGAAAGCAGCAGCAATTGGGAAATAGTATATTCGCATGCAAATGGCAGAATGAAAGGCCTCCGATTAAAGATGAGTGTGTGACAGCCAATTTCCTTGTATGAATACTGTTTACATGAATTTAAGAGGAAAACGTGGGCTTAAGGACAAAACAGATTTTGCCCAGGTTGCAGCATATGCAAAGCCAAACACAGCAGGGGGATTCTATTTCAGTTCTAGACTTTTTTCCCTCTATTGCTAGTCAGCTCTCTCCATGATATGTGCCAACCTGCAATCTCACAGTGAACAGCCCAGGGAGGTGCAATTAGCATAGTCACAAAGCCAGACCTATGGGATAACCGCTTCCTGCACACCTCCCACACCATGCACCAGCTGAGGACCACAAGCTTGACTTGGGGGTAGCTAAGTTCAAGTTCACATAGGTTCAGTAGTCCATGTCATCAGACCCTTCCCGGCCCACAACACCTTCTTGTCCTATCTCAGGGCTCAGTTTCCTTATATTTCTCTCTCCAACCCAATGGGATCATCTCAGAGGTAGGGTCTTCCTTAGATCTCGCCAAAAAACTATGTAGGTCTTTCTGTCTAGGTTGAAGACTCCTGGCCAGGGGTCTTCCCCTCTTCTTCCTCCCCTTGGCTCTAGTTTCCCCAAACTCTGTCATTAGCTGGAGCCAGGTCTGCAGTAGGATCTGGTGCTCAGACTTGCCCTATCATTGGTTTGGTGCTTTGCTGTACTATGGTAGAATTTTTAATAACTTTTGGATGAAGGCCCCCTGATTTCCATTTTGCTCTTGACACCCTAATTATGTATCTAATCCCACCTGCAGGTAGATGCAACAGTGCCCTTTCCTGCTGGAGTGGTCAGAGGTGCTCTGGCCAGGGGTTCTCTGGTTAGGAGTTTTGGTAACAGGACCGTAAAAGAAGACAACTGGAAATACCAATGGGCTAGAATGGTAAAAAGTACTTTCTTGGTGTTGTGTTATCAAAGTCATCAGCATCAACTATATGCCAGTTTTTCATAATTTCTCTCCTTATATTCATGGGATCTCCTTAGACAGATGTTGATCCTTGTGCTCATGGTACAGAAATTGGGGTTCGTAATGTAAATGACCCAAGACACACAAAACAAAAGGCACCTTAACATTCAAATGGAAAACCTGTCTTCCTCCATTTATGGAATTTGATCTTGTTGATCCACTTCAACAATCTCAATATGGGCTTTTTAAGTATTCATACAAGGATCCACCAATGTTGGGAAAGACAAGGTGCTTGGAGCTGGATACACCTGGGTCCTGGGCCCACCTCACTCTCCTTTGAGAAGGTCATTAAAACACTCCTTCTTGCACAATGAGAAAGATAAGAAGAGCTCTCCTGCCAGTCTCCTGTGAGGGGTGCACAGCAAGTCTTGTCAAATGCCAGTGGCAGCACAGATGGGACAGACATCTCACCACCATTGTCTTTCAAGGAAAGTTTTATCAACATTTCCCAAAGCATATTCCATGGAATGAGCATTCCCTGGAGTGTTCTAGGAGAGACAGGAGGGGGTCTCCATAAGCAATAGAGTTTGGGGACACTGAACATCAAGCCTATACGTAGAATAATTGCAATATACATTAACATATAGCAGCTCTGGACAATGTTACACTTTAGTTAAGCCAGAATTTACCAAACATAAATACTATAACATCTTTTCTCCATAGAAGCTATTTGTATCTTCAGAGACAAGCCATACACATTGTAAGGTCCATGGTCTGTTTTACTTAGGTCTTGCCTCTCTGAAGCACCAGCTAAAAACCCTGGGCTCAACTAGCCCCAAATGCTTCTAAATTAGTTTTACATCCTTTGTCTCAAAACGGGGTTGACTCTCCCTGAGGGAGATGAGGAGAAATAAGGACATTGGGCATAGGAAGTAATTTGCACAACAACCTACTTCTGTGACGTTGGAAATAGTGGCAAAACTCCATAAGACCTGGAAGATGTATGGACAAATACATCCCAACTAGCCGGTCAACTCAGAAAAAGCATACAGCATATAGCTTATCAAGACTGAACTAAGAAAAGTAAAAGTCTGGACCAATTATAACTGTGGAATTTAACAAATAAAGCCCATGAACAGGTGGCTTTACTAGAGGATTCTACCAAAGAATTTATATCAATCATTCCTAAACCCCTCCCATAAAAACAATGAATATGAGGGAACACTTCTAAGTGCCTTCTATGAGGCCCAAATTATCCAGAAACCAAAATGGGAAAAAGTAAAAAAAAAAAAAAAGACATTGTAAGAAAAGAAAATCATAGCCCAATATCTCTGATAAATATTGATGAAAAAAATCTCAACCAAATTTTAAAATATCAAAAGGATTTTATACCACTACCAAGTAGGATTACTCCTGGAATTCAAGGATGGTTCAACACATAAAAATCAATCAAGATGAGATACTGCATTAACAGAATAAAGGGGGGATTAAATTATGTTGTGAAAACCAGACATCTACATGAAAGAATGAAGTTGGACCCTTACCTCACACCATACAAACTAAATGATTAAAGGCGCAGCTGTAAGACCTGAGACTATGAAACTGGTAAAGGGATACATAGGAAAACTTTCACAGAATTGGATTTGGCAATGATTTCTTGGTTACAACACCAAGGGCAAAGTAGAGAAAAGAATAGACAAATGGGACTACCACAAACTTACAGACTTCTAATGAAAGAGAATCAACAAACCAATCAACAGACTTGCAGAATGGCAGACAATATTTGTAGACCATATCTGATAAGGAGTTAATATCCAGAATATATGAAGAACCCAACTCATAACAACCACCACCAAAATAATAGTCTCTATGTAAGTAGAAAGTGAAGTCTGTTGAAGTCTGTTGAAAAGTCTGGGGTAAAGGTTGAAAAGGAGGATAAGGAAAAATGACAAAGAAGGATGCATTTGATTGGGAAATTTTTCAGTGTGGTACTGGAAATTTAAACTCTGGGCTACATGTTTACTAGGAGGCTAATACTCTACCACTTTATCCATGCTTCTAAGCTCAGGGGCTGTGTGTGTGTGTGTGTGTGTGTGTGTGTGTGTGTGTGTGTGTGTGTGTGTGTGTGTGTGTGTGTGTGTGATGTGTGTGTGTGTGTATGTGTTTTGTCAGTCATGGGGCTTGAGATTGGGGAATGGGAACTGCCTCTCAGCTCTTCAGCTCAAAGCAAGCACTCTACCACTTGAGCCACAGTGCCACTTCTGGTTTTCTGGTGGTTAATTGGAGATAAGAGTCTCACAGATGTTCCTTCCCAGGCTGGCTTTGAACTGTGATCCTCAGATCTCAGCCTCTTGAGTAGCTAGGATTACAGGGATGAGCCACCAACGCCTGGTTTCTAAGCTCAGTTTTATTGGTAGTTATTTTGAAGATGGAGTCTAGTAAACTTTTTCACCTATATGTACATTAAATATCAATCCTCCAGATCTCAGCCTCCTAACTAGCTAAGATTACAGGTGTGAGCCACTGGCAACATATACACACATACATACATACATACATACATACATATATGCACATTGTGTATGCATATGTATGTGTGTATTTGTATGTATATATGTATTTGCATATATATGTATATATATGAATTTTATTCAGCCATCAAAAAAATGAAATTATATCATTTGCAGAGAAATGACAGGGTCTAGAAAACATCTGCTTGAGTGAAGTAAGACATGTCAGAAGGACAGAGAGTTGGCATTTTTTCTCATAGGTGGATGTTAGAACTAAAATATAAAC